GGTCGTCTGTCCTTGCCTCATGGATCTGTGACCTGCATGTACAATTCAGCCTGCAGGAATGGACAGGAAGGGAAATTAATGGGACGTCTGGCTCGAATCACAAGCCGCTCCCAAGAGTCAGATTTATCCCGGACGGCCCGAGTTCTCAGCCAGGCCTAGGAGCCTGTCCTGCCGAACGGCCTCGTGTCTGCTCACGCCACCCAGGATCCATGTCCGTACCGAACGGCATCAGAGTGGACTAGTGTATTCTTTCGGCAGCATCTTTGTCATCCTCATACTTTTGCAAGATGTCGATCAGACTTTTTGTGTAACATGAAGCACCTGTCATGCTGTCTATTCCAGCTTCACTGGGCCGAGAGGCATCTCGAAGTGAGTTGGGACACTCGCTTGGGAGATCAGATTGTATGCAGGCACCATGCGCCTACGAGTGGCTCTTGTATGCTTTGCACACCAGACTTGTAGCCAGGGGAATAATTCTGAGACTGGGCGCGGAACTATCGTGGTGGATTTCCGTAAGAAGACCTCAATGTATCCGGGAGCGTGTGATCCAGAGTGGAGTTCGTTCCACGCAGCGCAAGGTCCTCCGAGCAGAACCTCGATGACAACTGGTTGGGGACTCATGGTGTGTGCCCCGGCAGACTCAGCGACCTCTGAGCCACTCGGGAGGGTTCAGGATGCATATTCGACCCGGCATTGTGGTTCAAACCTTCTCTCAGGCCAATCCGATTCATTCATCCCTCACCCTCCCAGCGTCGTTTAAGTAAAGCAGCGGGTCCGTGTGTACCAGGAGACATGGTTCAAGTACCTTGAAGTATGTGAACATCGCCTAGGTCCGTAGCAGAACGGAAATTGTGGAGAAGACGAAGAAGAGGCAAAATCGTACCCCCAGGCCTAGTGGAAGCTCATGAAATTGAGCCCTGGTGGATTGGTACCTGTGATACTGAATCGAGAGTCTCCTCACAATCACGTTGAACATACTCGACCGGGGTGGAAGAGATCTGAGAGGCCAATGGATAACATTGATGATTTCGAGATATCTGCTCAGGCAAGCACTCAGCAAACGATGCAAGGCTGCCCGAGTTTGTTGCCGCGAGTTGGGTGGTAGTCAGCGCTAAGGATCGAGGTCGATGCTCGCATCCCAGTCGGAGGACTGATGATCATGGTTGTTCCGATATTATATACAATCTTGTCAGCAGATGCGTGGTGAGGGAGCGAACGGCTGGGGGGGGGGGCAAGGTGTTGACCAAGAGTAAGTGAAGTGTGTTGCAAGCCAAGTAACGGAGGACCCCAACTCCAGAGCTAGCCTGCATGCGGTCCGGCCTTGAGCTGCATTGCCAACGCAGAGAATCACTGGTCAGAGGGTGGATGCGCGCTGCGTGCTGCGTGCTGCGTGGTATTTGATGTGAGGCGATACTGATGCGAGGAAAGGAAGGAGGTAGATTGAGATACTGCACGCGATGCTTCCAAGGCTGGTGGGTGGGTACCGGGTGCACGGGCCAGAAAGATCCATCAGAGTGATGGAATGGCGGACGCCTCTCTGCGATTTGACTGGTGGTGTGGCTTTGCTGTCGAACAAGCAGTACCGACCGTAAGTACAGGTACAGCAGGTGGCCTAGCAGGTACCTAGGTACCGCAGTGTTCCTCCTGTTAGGTGCTAAGTGCCAGGTGCCAGGTGCTAGGTGCTAGGTGCTAAGTGCTAGGCCATAAGAATAAATGCAGCGGCCCTGCCGTGGTGGGCAGTGGATATGTTGGTTAGGCGGCCCCCCCAGTCCCGCCCTGGCCCATCCCTGAGCGCAGATCGGAGCCGTCGGACAGGCCCTTCTAACAAGGGCAATCCATGTCGGTGCTTTCCCTTGTGTGCAACCTGAACTGGACTGTCCCTCCCCAACCACTTGGTCTGCCCATGTAATTCTGCTGTGCCGTCCCTGCCTGCTGCTGCGTAAAAGACCAGGGAAAGGAGGTGGTACGGTACAGAAGTGGCCCGCCCAGTCCTGTCTGCGTGTAGACATGTAGGGGAGTAGGGTATTACCGTGCATGCACGTCTTCCATTTTCTGTCAGTCACCTTGTTCGCATTTGCACTTGCCAGCATTGCGCATTTCCCAGGGGATATGCTCCCCACTGACCAGCATCCATCTCTCTGCGGCACCTGCGAAAGTTCGTGTCAGTCATCCATCCACTCATCCAACCATCCAGCCTCTTGCAGCCAGTCAGGTACGTACCGTGCTTGGGTACTCGGTGACTTGGTGTACATGGGAGCTTGGGCACCTTCCGAGGTTGGTATTTCGGCGATCTATAATCCATCAAGTCAACACAACAACATTGGAGGCCAACAATAGAGCCCTCTTCATTGTTATGGTTATCCTCATTGCCTTCGATGATGGCAGCTGACCGTGTTTTATGTGCCTCCCTGTTTGTCTGTCTGTCTGCCAGCCTGTCTTGCTGTCTTTCTTGGGCTCACAGCCAGGTCATCTACGCTATCGCTGCATTCGCTACATATGCCACTGAACTCTCCCATCGGCCTTCATTACCAGGCACGCTGGACAAGAGGCAGTAGATAGACGGCACAGCTGCGCGTGTCGTCTATTGTCTTTGGCCGACACCCCAGTCCCGGACCCGTCAACGCTTTGTGCCTTTGTGCCTACCGTATGCCTTGTTCTGCCTTGTGCCTCGTGCCCTGTGCGTTGGCTCTTGTACCGCTACTCGCACCTCTCCTCTCCTCTCCTCTCCTCTCCTCTCATCTACTTTCCTCTCTTCTCCCTCCCTGTGCTCTCAGATCTCTCCCAGCTCCACTCCCTGCTTGCTAGTCTCGCTCGTGGGCTCTGGGTTCTACCTAGCTATGTAATGTGACCTGACCCAGATTGACATCACACCTGGGCACACAAATTGTACGTAGCAGGACAGGGGCCGCAGCCATTCATTCGTCGCCTGGCAGGGGTGGCCAGCATTCTATAAAAATTTCCCGATTCTGCTACAACATCATCCTTGCCCTGCCTCGCCTCTCCACCGCTCACAAACACTGGACCCGCGCTTCCAGTGATGACTTAAGTCATCTGGGTCCACCTCACCTCACCTAGCCTTCCTCTGCTTCACCTTGACCTCTTATTCCATCCCGTTCCGACCCCTTCTGCGCTATCTGTCCTGTCCTGTCCTGTCCCGTTCATATTCTGTCCTATTCTGTCCTGTCCCGTCCTCTTCTGGTCTCATTAGTTCTGTTTCGATCTGTCTCCCAGCCCACGTCGCCGGCCCACGGCGCTAGGACGACGGTTGAGTACTTTGGGTCGTTACTGCGGCCCTCGTTCAAACTCTAAACCATTTGGCCTGCTCTCAGGTCCTTTCTACAACAGCCAGACGTCTTTCCTGGTTCTGTCCCGACGACGCAATTTACGGACATTTAACAACTCTAGACCATTTCATACCCACGTCTCACGCGACTATACAACAATTGCATCGGCCACCCGCATGTCGAGACCTGCGCAGCCTCGCTTTACGCACCTGACTGCGTCTTGTCGAGTCCCGAGTCTCAGCCAGATATCGTCTCCAGAACCTGCAAAGTGAGTTTCAGAATCCTTGCTCCTTTCTTTCTGTCTTCCATTGTGTCACACAGGGCCTTGATTCCGTTGTTTGGCTCCATTGCGGAAATATTGCGTCGAGTCTCCCTCCGACCTCCACACCTATCTGTACCAGCCTCGTCGCTTCTCGGCATACTTGCAGCCTGGTTGCTGGTTTTCCCGAGGGCCAAAGGTTGCAACGCCTCAGGTGTATGTCCAAATTGCTTTCAGAGGAATTGCAGCACTCTGTGCACTCTAAGGAGCCAGGGTCATCACTCGCAAGGTCGTGTGCCCCGTCCTCACTATTCTTGAGGCCTGCACTGAGCCAGTTCATGCTCTGACGCGCCCATCATCAAGAACGATCTCGGGGCAAGATCTTGTTGCGTGTCCCTTAGTTTGTGCTGGGACGGACCAGGCTGTGCTTCTGAGGTTGGCTGTGAAGACGTCGGGGCTTTCAGAGCTCCGTAGCTCTCTGCAGAGCCACGAGCTACCCTGGCTGAGTTGGGCATGGCCAAGTCTGTGCGAGTACCGGACGCTACTGTATCTCACCGGTATCCTGTCGTTTTATTCCCATCTGCATTGCATGTGTCTGCTCGATCTGCGCAACTTGCATGCCCACGCAAGGCAAATCGAATCGAAATAGACTGGGGGCCCCCCCCAATCCTCACCGGGGTCCAAGTCTAAATCTGTCTCGCCCTACGCGCCCTACCGCGAGGCCTCGTCGTTCCATCTCTCATACTCATACAAAAACCTCCTTCCCTTTCCGTGCGCCTCAGCTTGCTCAGCCTCGACCTTCGACCTGGATGATCTGCATCTCTCCTTTCATTGTGCACCTCAGGACACGTGTGCCTAGCATGTGCTGGGCGCTTTCGAACCGCGTCTACATCAACCTTCCGCCCAAATCATAGATCACCGTGTCTTTCATTCCTACCTCTCACCGACAAGCACTGATGACATTGTGGCCACCACAACCATTTCTCTCCCGGCTTTTCAGCTGCGGGAAACAATTTGAGCCAAGGCGCTTCGCTAACGGCGTCTCAGGATAATTTACGCTCGCTATACGCCGCCCCACAACTTACAGGTCGGGGCTCGCATTGCGCCTGTCCGTGGCCGGTATGGCAACTACTAACGGGTACACGAATGGCCACCCGCCAGAACCAGCTGGGAAGGGTCATTATACAGAGAATGGCCGTCATTACCAGTTATGGCATGCAGGCCAATACCCCTTCCCAATCGACGAACGCGAGCTAGATCGTCTGGACGCGATGCACAAGTTCTTCCTGGTCGCCCGGCGCTACCTACTCTACAGTCCACACATCAGCCTGGATAATATAACTGGTCTGAAGATATTGGATCTCGGATGTGGCACTGGAATGTGGGCTCTCGACATTGCAAAGAAGTTCTTTAGCTGCCCCCATTCTCATGTACAAGGCGTAGACTTGTCAACGCAAATGCAGGCATCAGAGATCTACCCAAACAACGACTTCAAAGCCATGGATATTGAGGAGCCATGGCCGTCCTTTCTTGAGGAGGGTGCCTTCCATCTGATCCACGCTCGCATGCTTGCAGGCAGCATACACTATGAATCATGGCCACGGGTCTACAGCGAATCTCTGAGGTAGGCATCTCGTAATCGTTGGCAACACGAGATCCAAATTACTCACTGACAGCCGATAGTCACCTGGTCCCCGGCAGTGGCTGGTTTGAACAAGTCGAGGTCGACTGGTACCCTTGCAATGATGACGGACCTGTGTCTAGCCACCTCAGGTACTGGGCCGAGGAGCTGCATAATGCGATGGATGCAATGAAACGGCCTCTTAGAGTTGACTCCAGAAGAACCCAGCAAATGCTCGCCGACGCAGGGTTTGTCGATATCAAACAGGAGGTCATCCACTTGCCTGTCAATGGAGGTTCTGATGACCCGTACGAGATAGATGTCGGCAGGTGGTTCAACCTTAGCCTCCACAAGAGCTTCATGGGCCTCACCTTGGCTCCTCTGTACAGAGCCAAGGGTTGGAGACCCGAGGATATTGAACGGCTCGAGAAGGATGTCCTCGAGGAGGTCTCTCAGCGCGGCAACCGGGCATACTGCAAAATGTAAGTCATGTCAGAGGTTGACAATCCCGGCGACCATTAGACTTTCAGCACCTAATCAAAGAACAGGTATATCTGGACGGCGAGAAGGCCCACACATCATGTCCCGCGATGAAAAGCTCGCAGAAACCACTGTCGATGGAGTAAGCAATGCTTTCGTGCTTTCCAAGGAGCTTCAAACAGGAACATTTTTCGTTATTTCCCTCTGTCAGCCTTCGGATTGAGAAACAGCACATGGTCACATGCGGCTGCAACCTCATTTCTCTCAGCGTGGGTTCAAGAGCCATGCAGGCCACCGTGGCCGCGACCGCGGCCGCCGCCAACCACCACACCGTAGCCTCACAGGGGTAGTGGGCCACAAGAATCAAACAGACGTTCACCAATGATTTGACGCGCGGTTCTATTTGTTTACACTACAATGCGCGGCAATCGGTTCGCGCGCGGTCTCGTGGGCTTGGACGTCAGTAAAACCCCACCGGTAATTTCCAGAACCGGAATCCCTCTGTCATGCCGCAGAATCTTACTTCGGTGTGCAGCAGCAACAGCAGCAGAAATTATCATCGATGGCAGCTAAATAACACTTGATGTTGGAAATGAAGGGCTCGATTTCGGGCACAGCCTTCAGCGCCCTCTTCGTCGTTATTCCTAGCAGAACCAAAGCTATTGGTATTGCCCTTTCCCTCTCCTCAGGCGTCTAGGCTGCCTCTTTCTGGTTGGTCGTACTCGGTGCGACGATATGGGGACTCATTAGGGCAAGCCTCGGTGTTCTATTTTACCACTCTACATTGGGCACAGGCGTTCTGCTGTTGGTAATTTTGGCGTGCATAGATGGGTCGCAACGGTGTGTCGCAAACGGCAGGAGGTTTAGGACAAAGTTTCTCACCATCAGGTCATTATTATTTTGCTGGTCTTTGTTATTATTTCCGGGTCGGTCTTTGCAACTGGAGCTCTGGTCTCGGCTCGGGTCGCCCTTCAGGCTCCAATTTTGAAGTTTTGTTGGCTCTACTTTTCAAACAATTCATCACGGCATTCTCCTATGAGACCCTTGTTGGTGGGCCTCCTATCTGGCCTTGCACCGTGACAACCACGATGTTTCCCACAATCGCACTGCGTGTCGCCAACCCCCTCCTTTCTGGCGATCTCATCATGTGTCCATGCCCTATTGCCGGGACAGCTTGCACGTACTGTCGGCAAATGTTGACAATCTCCAGCGATATCCTATTTCCTGCGTGATCGGTACCGGCCCTTTAGCCTCGTCGGAACAACCCAGAGGATCACGGACCGACTCGACTAACCTGTTCCAAATGTCATAGGCCTGGGTACAAGAATTGGCCCAGATAGAGGCGTAACGCTTATGTTGTTCGATGGTCTAGCCGGCCATTTTGGTCCCTCCAGATGCCCGTGGTTTCCGGAAGGCTGTGTGGTCGAATGAGTACCACTAATCTGCAAGGCGAACTACCAACAGCATAATGCGAGACGACCACTCAAACAACGAAGGAGGAAGGAGTCTTTGGATACGAACATGGGTGGACCCAAATTTCGACCCAATAATTACCAAAGGGTCCAGTTCGTTACAATCATGGGCCAACGCCGCCGATGACGATGGAGCATAATCAGCACTCCATGTTCGTCCATACAACATAACCTTTCGAGCAGATCGAGCATTTGATCGCGCGTACCAAGCTGCTGCTTTCCCAACATCAAGGGGCTGCATGGAGCAACGATATTCATAACCACACAGACGCGACGCGGTCCCCAGGCCCTGCCTGGCCACTGTGCGACCATCAAGTGCGCCGGCCCTGCTCTCTGTTCCCTCTTTTCGAGAAGCCTGCCTACTTAGGAGGTCCCTCCCAGACCATCCTCACCGACCAGGATAAAACGTTCTGTGCAAGGGTGGACGCGCCTTCGTCATACACTGCGGCCAAGCAACATGTGTTCACGCAGACGCAGCATGTAGGCACATACATGCGCGCACTTGACCAGAGCAGTGTCTCATGAACATTGCATACATGCACACACACTGCGGACAAGGTTACGACGAACGCCCAACTGCATCGAGAGCGCCCATCCAGAGAAGCCCACGTATCAGCCTTCCTGCAGGTGTCGACCTCGTCCATGGGTCATATGATGTCCCAGCCATGAACAGCAACAATGATATGTAAGATACAAACGCACTTTGTGCGACATCCGCGCCTATACCCTGCCAGGAACCGCCCCCCTCCCCTGCTGCCCTCGCTTGCGTTCGGTTCCTCCCCACCCGCCCTCGACGACGACGTTCTGCCAGCACATCGCCCAGGATACACTACACCAAAGCGACAGTCAATGTCACCCCATATATGAACCTAGTGGATGTTGCCTGTTGCCCCCTCGAGGTTACATACCAGGCATCCCGACTGCGGGTGGCCGGGACACTCAACCACATGCGAGTTCCTGACCCGGCCAAACGGAAATGCGCAGGCCACGGACACTGGCGTCTCCCACCCCTCTCCCGTCAGGAATTTGCCTCGTCATGGCATTCTTCTTGTTTCCTCACTGCCTTTTTGCCCATTCCTTCCTGTTCACGCCATGCCATGCAGCCTAGTGGAACTTCCCACCCACCTGATCCAGCGCCTGCATGTACATGAGCTCCACGCCACTCCCACCACGACGGGACTCCCATATCTCCACGCAGAGTCTGCCTTACTCGACGACCTTTGAAAAGTCTGCCTTGACCATCAAGGCTGGATCCGGTTAGTTGTGGTGGGCGGCGGTGCGGGTGATGTCGATGTCACCATGCTTCCCCTGCCGCTTCCTAATTTCTCGAACATGTGGTGATACCTTCCTGGAGTACCAGGTACGCTGGGAACGCGCAGGCCTTTTGTGGGCACTGTACTCTCCATTTTCTGCATAGTTCCAAACCAGTGTATGCCAACGCATTATAGACGCAGTGTCTGTCTGCATGTAGTCGGTATGTCTGTTTTTCCTTAGTGCTCAGCAACAGAGTGGTAGATAGATAAATTGGCCGGGTGATGGCATGGCATCGCATTATGCGAGGGCAAACCAACTGTTGACGACCAGGGGACTCGGAGCAGCACCCTCGCTGGTCTGATATTAATAACAGAAGCATGGAGATGGCAGGTCTAGGCCGAGATTGTCATCGACTTGACATACGAAGTGACTTTCAGCCGCCGTGGCAACCAAACCGCTCCCTCAGATGTCGCCTCTCGATAGTGTTGTTGACAAATTAAAGACGGCAGAGCCGCGGCAGGACCTCACCGATTGCGTAGTCCGACCACACTGCAGCTTGATGTGACATTGGTGGTACATGATACAAAAGAAAATTCTATGTTGCCTGCCTTCCCCTTCCACCTGCCTTAAGAAAGATGTACAAGAAGGGCTAGGTAGATAGACTTGCACAATTTTCCCTCGCAAGATGTCGCCAAAACAGAATACGCGACATAGACAGTGCCATTGACCACTCGCCGTGTCCCAATGCGTCCGCATGGTCCGCGTTGGGTCGGGTGGAGCATGCATGTATGTCGTCAGCAAGGGAAAAAGATTTGGAAGTTGTGTCAAGGCATTTTCCTTGATCCCCGTTATCCGAACCGCCGTCTATTCCTGATTCTCTATAGCTGGTCAGGTCAACCAGTTCCTCCATCGAAACCGCCAAAATGGCCACCCATCTCCACACGCACACACACACACACGCACACACACATACACACAGACACAGGCGCACACATGACGAGGTTTGCCCAGCCTGTCGTGCTCCGTCTGCAACACGTCGATTACTGCAGGCCATCACTGCGAAGTACCAAGACTTCTCGCACCTATTCACACACTTTAAACACCCCTGTCGACGACTTCGTCACCCCTCTTCCCCTGTGCAACCCGAGAACGTCTAGTGGTGGCCGTGGCCGGTCTCGCCGTGGTATCCAATCAACTTCCAGCGGCCGACCATCTCGCCAACGGTGAAGAATCCCAGCACCTCGGCGAGGAGCACACCACCTCCGACGAGCTGCGCCCTCGAGAGGTTCCGGATCTGCTGGACGGCCGAGGCCGGGGAAGGCGCGTTAGCGGCGGTGCTGGAGGCGGACCGCAGCAGCGTCTGGGGGTTCTTGACGGCGTTGACCGCGCGGTTGAAGTAGCTCTGGACGGTGGTCAGGGAACTACATAATCGACATAATTAGCAGCTGTACATTCTATTTATCTCGGGAGAGCTCGGTCGCTGAGTGAAGCTTGTTCGCAAACAGATAGACCAGTGGCAGTGAGCTTACGGTGGCTGCATCTTCTGGCCTTGGAAAACCAGCTTGCTCAGCTCAAGGCCGACTCTGCTGTAGTAGACGACGAAGGGGACCTGGCCTGGAGACACGGAAAACACAACCAATAGTTAGCGCCAATTTCATCCCACGGTATCACATCCCATCCCATCACCTATCCGGGAGCTTTCTTCTCTCCTCCTGCCCGACGTGGGGATGTGACATACGCTCAACAAAGCCGACGAATCTCCCCGTGCGGCCGCCGACCTTGCCCAGCGCGCTGGTGACGCCCTTGGCGGCGTTGGCGGCTCCGGCGAGCGCGGGCCCGGCGGCGGAGGTGACGCGCGACAGGCCCTGGGCGGCCTTGGACTGGATGTTCTGGGCGGTCTCCTTGGTGGCGTCGGCGGCCTTCTTCGCCTGCGCGGAGGCGGCGTCGGTGGTCTGGAAGCGGCGGGCTGCGAAGCGGAGGTTCTGCCTCAGGAGAGGACGGGCGACGACTGCGGACGACATGGTGGACGGCGGGTGGGGCCCCTTCTGGTCTGGTCAAGTCCTGTGTTCCGAAGCGGTCAATTGAGGGGAGAGACGGGCCACCTGGTGGTCGTGGTGAGAAAGGAGCGTTTCGTCGGCGGATTGGCGGGAAGCGAGTCGGATTGAGGTCGCGGCGATGGAGGTTGAGAGCGTAGCTTTTGGATTACCGGCCACCCTGCAGACTTGGGTCAGGGCCAGGCGAGGTGCGTGCTTGCGAAAATTCCAATGGAGCTCGGAACAGAACGGGGAGCCGGTTTTGGCGAATCAGAGGCGCCTAATTGGGAGCTACAGTGGGTCCGCTGGCTACGTAAGCAGCTGGCGAGTACGTACCTTTTCCCGAGGTGAAGGCTTGTTGTTGATATCATGGTTTTCTAGGACTGCTGCCATCCATCTACACATATGAACTGGCATGTCTTCGTAGAAGTACATTCATACACTTAGCAGGCCTATACATCTAACTTCATGTGCATATCCTATACCAGAACATGCTTCCCTAGGTCTTTGCCTTTTTCCCTTTTCCTTTTCCCCGTCCTCTGTTCCGCGTGCCAGCCTTGCCATTTGTCACTTGCCTGTCATCGTCAACAAACTCCTCATCACGATCATTATCATCCGCGTCATCGTCGCCGTCGCTCTCAACAACAGCCGTGGCACGAGCCTTGCGTTTTCGTGTCTTTGCGCCGCTGCTCCTCGAAGAATTCTTTTCAGATCCCTGAGTGGCCGATGTGCCCTCACCGGAGTTGTCTGCCTCTGTCCCAGCAACTCCAGCGTTGGCTCGCAGCCTATTCACCGCTGCGGCCATTCTCTTACTCCCTGCTTGTCTTTGCCTAGGCGCAAAGGCCTCCTTGGCACCAACGCCCACACTTCCCTCGAAGTACCTCGTGATGTTGCTCTGTGTGCCTTCCATATCCCTGCGGTTCAGATCTCTGATCACCGGCACGAGCACCTCGTCCGTCCGCTCTGGGCTCCACCCGATCGTCGCCATCAGGAACCGCCGCAACCCCTCCAGGTCCGGCGCCCCCCATTGGAATGACTCCGGGTTCTTGTCAACCTCAGGCTGCAGGTAGGCGTCGTAGACAGGCGGGCTGGGAAAGCTCGGGGGCAGGAAGAGCTTGGTGGCCTGGCTCTTGCGGAACTTCTTCCGGAACGCAGATTGTGCGTCAGCTTCCTTAGGCCGGTTGAGGTCCTGCTGCACCTCAGTCCACCATTCCTTGAACGCAGTCAGGCCTTCCCTCCCTGGAAATTCTGAGAGGATCTCCACGGCCGTGACAGGGCCGATTCCCGGGAGGCCTTCAGTGTAGTCGGATCCTAGGAGGTGAGCTATCGAGATGAGCTGGTCACGGGATAGGGAGAGCTCCTTCTCAAGATCGTCAGACAGGTAGCACTCGACAAACTTGTTGCTGTTGAACATGTTTTTGTAGATCCTCGTGCCACCGAACAGGAAAATGTCGGAGTCGTCAGTGACAATACCATCGACGAGTCCGAGGTGTACCAGCTCGGCGCACTGAGCTTCAGCTTCCATCGGGGCTGTGATATACGGGATGCCAAACAAGCGCAGCAGGGCCTGACACTCGGTCACCATGATTTGTGTCACCTCGTCAGCGTCACGCCTATCTTTCTTCTGCTGGTTTCTTAACGCCCGTAGCTCCCGCTCGTAGTCTTCCTGGTTCTGGTAAGCTGGCTTGTTGTTCAGCTGACTTGCGAATCGAGCATGTTCTTCGGCCTCCTCAGCCATCTGCGCCAGGAGCTGTTCTTCCTCGGGATCGCTGAACTCCTCGTACTCGCCATCCGAGAATAGGCCATCATCGTCTGCTGCAGCCGGGTCAACAATTGGCGCGATTCCTTCGACTCTTTCCTGCTGAGCAATCGGAGGTGTTGGAGGCGTGACTTCCCCAAAGCCAAGTTCTTCGATCTGAGCTGGCTGTTCAGCTGTTAATGACGCCTCGGTAATCTTGGGTTGCTCTTGCGGCAGCTCAACATCCTCAAATATCATATCCTCGGCAGCATCTCCCTGCTGCTCTTGTTGCGGAGAGGATGCTGCTGGGGGGCTGTCTTGTGGCAAATCGATATTTTCGAATTCCATCTCAGATGACAGAGAAAGAGGTGTCTCCGTCTGGTCCTCATGAAGGCCCTCGCCCTCGCTGTTTTGACTGATTACATCTCTTGACACTGCTTCCGGACTTGTTTTTGTTGGATCTTCAGAATCCTTCGAAGGCGGTGGCAACGTGACTGTGAAACCTGTATGTGCATTCGGGGCTTCGTTCGCGTCTGAACTCCCAAGTGAAGCAGACTTTACTGGAGGAGCATCGACAATTTCAATGTCATCATCATCGTCATCAGATGATTCAATCTCGACAACCTCGTTCCGTCGCTTCATTCGGAGACGCTCCTCCTCCTCAGCTAATCGCTGGTCCTCCTCATTCACCTCGGTCTCGATAAGTCGCTGCTTCTGCATTTTCTCCCGGATATCCGATTCGTCATTGATCATCCACGGAGGTAACGGTTGCGGTGCTTTCTCTCCGCCGGCTTCTTTCTCGAATCCACCCTCAAAGTCATCGTCCTCGGGAGGATCTGGTTCTTTCGGGCCAGCCGGCCGAGCCTTGTCACTCGATCTCTCCTCAGGCAATTCGATTTGAAAGCCACCCTCCGACTCGAAGATGTCTTTGATGCTTTCTTCTGGTTTGGGCGCGGACACGGGTTTCGGCTTCTTTTCAAATAAGGAGGTCCTCCAATTCAGCTTCTCAAAAGGTAAAGGCCCATCGAAAGGATTCTTGACGTTGGGTCGGACCGTTTCCATTGATTTTGGTTTCACTGCGGCCTTCTTCTTCCTTGCAGCCCTCAACGCCGATTGCAGGTCTTCCTCACTATCACTGTCCTCACTTTGCTTCCTCTTTGCGACAGCTGCATTTGCCCGGTTGTTGATGATATGGGCAACCATGCTACCGCTTGTGGACGCAATTGGTTTTGGCGTTTCCACTGCTTTTTGCTTCCAGTCAGGGATCTGCACGTCCTCGAATACGTCTTCTTGCGCCTCTTCCGCCTCTTTGTCGGTACCATGTTGGTTTCGAAGGGACATCTCAATTGCTCGTGCAACGTCTTCATCTTCATCTGCCACTAGTTCATCCTCGTTTTCTTGAGCCACGAATAGATCATTGTTGCCTTCGTATTCGTCCCCGAATAGCGACTCCACGTTCTGATCTTCATCTTGGAAACCCACTTTGTGGCTTTTGACCTTCGGTAGACGATTTAAGCCTTCTATAGGCACATCCTCAAAGTCGTCGTCCTCGCTTTCATCTGCATCTTCGTCCTTGGCTTCGAACTTGAAGTGCAACTTGTCAACGTCAATCGGTTTGTGGGCTTCGCCCAAGTCTTTCTCAGTGCTGACAACACCCAGTGCCCAGCCACCATCCGCATTCTCGTTCCTCACGAGGATATACTCCCGGTTCCTCTCTCCAGCAACTCGTCCGCCACCGGTGACTGTCAAGTCACCCCCCATATTCATTTCGAACATGAGTCTCTGCGTCAGACGATTCCGCTCCTGGACGCGCTCGATCTGGAACCTCGAGAAGTCCATGCGATTTGGAAACATGATGCCTAGCTGCTCTTTACTCAGTCCCATCCTGAGCCGACTCCGCAACCTCGCCGCATTGAGGATATTGTACCGGTCTGCGGGTGGCAGACTCTTGAAGAAGTCGCCATCAAAATCGATCTTGCTGAAGTCGTACAAGTTGACATCCTCACCGTTGTGGAACTGTCTCGCGTAGTCCTCCAGCTCCTCCACGCTCATGATACGGGGGTCCTCTGGCTTTCCCATTTTTTCGATGCTGGTCCCCAGTTCCGGTAGGTGGTACTGATCCTGCCTGAAGAATTTTCTCTCCTTTTTGCGTTCCTCCTGCGGCTGAAAGGCCTCGTCGGCGTACACCATGTTTTCCATGTCGGGAAGCTCCTCGCCGGGTGCCACCCCATCCTGAGGGCTAGCATCCCTTTGCCTCTGGCTCTCCTTGCGCTTCTCCTCTTCCTCCTGTGCGATCCTCTGCATCTGCACAGCAAGCAGTTTCCCCGCCGTGCGCACCGCATCTTCGCGTCTGCCCTCCCTGCGCCTACGCCGGCCTTGCAGGGTAGCGCGCTTCAAGGCAGGAGCCCCACCGTCGAATACGAAGACAGGTTTGATGCCGAACCATAGGAGCTTGCATATCCTCCGGAAGAAACCGACGACGTGGCTGTTGCGCAGGGCGTTGCCCTCCTTATCGCGCACAGCTTTGAGGAACTGGTAAATCCAGATAGAAGCATCCACGGCAAGTCGCTTGCGATTGAGAGTGGCGAGATTTGTGGGCCGGGCGCAAGGTTGCACGACCGTCCAAAGACCGTTGACACCCATGGCGACAGCGTCTCGGGTTCAGCGGATCGGACGTAGTGAGAGAAGTTGAGAGTGGGTATAGGCAGATCCGTATGAAGTGCCTACGTGGGAAAGGATAGGCTGATCGTCATGACTCCCATGATGTCTGCGATTCTGGCACACTGCTAGAATGCTATCTATCGATCGACAAGATGAAGAAAAGAGTCACGGAATACTCGGTATGACTGCTTTCAACTAGGCTACCGGGTATGTGAATCTAGGGGAGTAGGAAGCGCCTCTGGGCGCGTTCAGCCTGATAAGCGGCTTATCGCCCCACCAAATGCCGTCATCACTCGCGAAGCCTCCGCCCCGTCACGGGACGGGAGCGTCACGGAAAAGAAGCTCCAGGCGTTCGTCGGTCCACTCCGAGCTGCAGCCCTTCGACCTCGACCCCGGAGGGTCCACCTGGCTGCCGAGGACCGACCTCAACGAGCTCCGCACCCTGAGCGATCATAGAGACCGACAATCACTAGTCCTAGCCATACTTCTCAGGGCTGAGCCGAGCACTGGATCATGGCGGCCTCGGAAGACAGGATGGACAAGGATGAAGCGCGAGGCTTCCTCGAGTCTCTTCTGAACAAGAAGCTGCGCATCCACACGACAGACGAGCGCATGTTTTGGGGCGAGTTCAAGTGCACCGATCCCGTGGGTTACACGTCTTCACCCATTCAATTGGCTACCGGTTCTGACGAGGTCAATTGGCTGACCTGCCTTAGGATCGAAATATAGTTCTAGCACACACCTACGAGTACCGCCAGCCCTCGCCCGAACAGCGTGCCAAAGCAGCAGCTGCCGCCAACGCCGACGCAAGCACCATTAAGATGGAGTTGACGCACCGCTACCTTGGGCTCGTCGTCGTTCCCGGGGAGCACATCTCGCGCATCGAGAAGGAGGACTTTGCCAGTCAGGTGAAGAAGGAGTAAAGGCCGCCCAGCTTCGCAAGAGAAACCTGCGACAGAGGATCTTAGTCTCGAGCAAACGCCCGGATAATGAACAGTCGACAACGTCACGCGACCGCTCTTGCCAATCCACCATGGACACACAGGACGGGGACACCCAAACGAGAAGGCAGCTGTACATCTCACCGGCACGCGCGGGTCATGGAATGCCGCGATAGCCAGTGGCGTGAACCAGGCAGTATTTCTTTATAAATCTGTCCGTTCAGCACAGTTCCATGAGAAGCGTGGGGACGACCATGAACCGTGCTGTTGGCAACAAATGGGAGCAGTAGCCCCGATTTCCAGAAGCGACGCCCAGGCTCAGACCCTCGAGTTCTTCCGGATATCTCATTCCTCAGCCGCACCTGCAGGCTCTGCAGTGAGACTCTCTCGGAATTTTCAACTGAGGCAGATGAAAAACGGCGGTACTGTCTACCGCCTATCTACCAATTGGTATCTTTAACTGCCGATCTCCGCCCTTTTCCCTTCGAGCCGAGAGACAAGCATTTGGCTGAAAGAGGTTGGCCGAGAGTAGTGGATGACAGGGACTCACCTTGAGCATGGAGTTATGAGGATGGACTTGCGTGTGCCAGGTCATAGGTAGCTCCATGTGTATATCTCAAGCCCCCGATCAATGTGGACGACATAATTTCATGGGCAACCAAATAGTCACATGCTTTTCTTACGTCTTCAAAGTGGAAGCTAGACATCTGGACTCAAGCGTTGGTAAAGTGAGAAGGCGTGTTCATTCTCGATATCGGAAAAGACTTGCGTTTGCGCTTGGAATTGATATCAAAGCAGTTATGAAGTGAACCAGAACCACGCCCCACCCGTGATTTTCCGCCTGCAGCCCTGTGTTTTCCAAGCGCCTTTCCACGCGTATATTCCAAGTCGAAAACCACGAGCCTTCGAAACCGCAGCTCGAGTTGCCATGACAATTAGTAAGTAGCGTCATTATAAACATTACACTATAGATTTACTCCTGACCGAATCATGTCAGCTAGATCAAGCAGCAACAGCCTCCTGTGTGCGCCCACGGTGCTCGCCGTTCAATCCGTTCTCGCTTTCCACCAAGTCGTCGTCCTCCTCTTCCTCGTCCTCGTCCTCATCGTCGTATTCGCCCTTATGCTGTCCGGCTGGGACCCAGGAGTCCCGGTCATTAAGCGGGGCGTCCTGGTGCGACAAATCGTGGCCCTCCGACCTGGCTTTGATGTTGTTGCGACGGCGGGTGGACAGCGTCCGCGCACGGGTCGACAGCTTGGAGGAGACGGCGGCCTTCTGAGTGACCCAGTTTGTCAGGGCGTCCTCGCAGTCCTGGATGATGGCCTTGCTGGCCTCGTATCCGTCGTAGGCGGCACGTGTCTCTCCGGGTGTCACGGGTGTGTCGTCGATGAGCTCCAGCAGATGCTTGCCGTACCCAGCAATGATAGCCACTTTTTCACAGTGCTCCCGCAGGGCGTCAAACTGATAAGTGTATGCAGCCTTGATCTTCTCCCGAGTAATGTTGGACAGCTGCGCTTCGGCGACCAGAGACTCTGCTTCGGCGCGGACGAGTTCTTGCTCGAGAACGACAATCTTGGGGGAGTTGGGCTCTTTATATTTCAGTTGCGCGATCTGGTCGGTGATCTTCTGCTTGCGATCTCTACTCGGCTGCACCGAGGCCTCGATGTTCCGGATGCTCTTGATGGTCACGCGGTACTGATCGTAACGATCGACATACTGGTCCTCGAGCTCGCCGATTTCGTAGATTAGGACACCAAGCTTGTCCGTGACGTCTGAGACATCCTCGTCGCAAGCCTCGCCCCAAATAGAGAGTTGTTGCTACAATCTCCAAAGTTAGAAGCACTCGGGATGTGGGCCAGGCTGGTTTAAGACGTACAGCAACCTCCATTCGCTCCTTTGCCACTGTTTCCAGGCTGCGCATGACGTTCTTCTCCATCTTGACCAGTTGCGACAGCTTCTTAGCTAGGTCCGGGCCGAAGGCGCCCGCGGTCTTTCCTCGAAGAGCATGACCTATTCAGCCTGTTAACTGAGGTCTCTTTTCATGCACATCGATTGCAATTGATGAAGATTGGAACGTACCGAAGCCGCCGCGGCCGAAGAGACGGCCTGACTTTGTGGACGAGGTCGGTGGGGGAGGATTCTGGCAACGCAGCAATCAGGCTATATTCTCTCCGGGTGGCGCGGCCAGCTTGGGACTCACCTGAATCTGAGAGGCAGTTGGCGCCCTCGTCTGGCGCATAGAATAGGTGCGATGCATGTTGAGCGGTTCTGATTGTATCAATAAGGGAGGGGTTTGTTGCTGGAAGACGTAAGTGGGTCAAGGACAAGTGGTGGAAATGGATGTTGATGATTGGTCTCACGAGATATCTCGTGGTGAGGCTTGTAAGTCCAGGTGGGCCGTCCGGAAGGAGATACAATTGTGATGATAACAGAGCAGGGGGTTGGACAGAAACTGGGGGAGCGTCGGGTGTAAATAGTGGAGGTGAAGGGGACGAAGGCGAAGATCGGTCAGGAGGTCGAGGCCGAGATGGCAATTCGTTCGCGGACAATGGCAAAGCTGAAGACCCCTGAGAGCCCGAGAGAGAGAGAGACGGGCGACGTCATATCCGGACTGAGTGGCAGAGCTAAGGGATGCTAGAGGATGCTAAGGGATGGTTTTAGCGCTCTTTTGGGAAAGCCCCGTTCGCAATGTGGCGCTGGCAGTTCGAAACCGTGCACCACCGCCTGTTTAGGATCGGCCAGGCTGGGTTGATCTTTCTGTCTGGGCTGTATCTGTCTGTACATTTTGCTGAGCACAGAATGTTTCATCCACCAAGTCATCAGTGCCAGTGCTTGAGATGATGATGATATGATTGTGCGTTCACACTAGGCCGTAGGAATTCCAAACTGTTTGAAGAAAATTGAAACGGCAGTCTATCTAGCTCAATCCGTGCACTTGCCGTTGATGACTGATTCCGTTCCTGGACAAGTCTCGCCAATAGACAGATCTAGAGGAAATGATAACATTGCTAGATATCGTGAATTCCGGTTTGTTTACAAACGCCGCTCCACACCTGCGCTTGTAAAGCATTTCGTATTCCCGATGTTCGTGAACAAGCTCTTCATTTACACACAACCCACGTGGAAGTACAGAACCCATCGGGCAGAATATCAACTCTGTGGATGCGCAAGGCTTAGGCTTACATCCATGTTCTGACACCACTACATACAGGTAACCTAGAGAACCGAAAATAAAGAAGTTAGACAATTAAGCCCGTCCCCTTCTCTATAATAATCTGCCCGGGCGATCTAGTAGATACCTGTGTAGTGCATATATTTACTCTATGAAAAGTTGACGGTCGAACAGGTGTAAAGAGGCACAGGGTTTTCGAGGTTTGCCCTGAACCCTGTTGCACAGTAATGTAACTGACTGTCCCACTGAAGGTGGACACCCTGCAACCCCTACCCATGCCATGAACAGCTCCTTCCATTCGGAGCCTTCCCGCTGAGCAGTTGCAGGTGCACGCGTATGGCAACGTCGATTAATCTCACCTGCACCGCACCTGCATCCACACACCTGAACGCGACTTGACCGCGTTAGAGGAGGACTGCATCCTCCAAACCACTCTCAACATGTACCAACAGTCCTACTCTCTTTGAAGTCATCCTCAAGATCCAAGTAATTGAAGCTTCCACTGCAGCAGGCTTGGACTCTTTCATCCAATTCCAACATCGGGCCAAAGCTCTTACGCGTTTGCAATACGAGCCTTCCATTTTTCTTGCCATCTCCACATCCTCAGTCTCCAGTCCTCACTCCTCACTCCTCACTCCCAAGCACCAGGAATCGATCCTCCAGTCACGCCGGAGCCTTCACTAGTCTGCTGGCTTAGACAGCAGATCGACGTCTGAGCTGTTCGCGACTCGAGATCCATCAGTCTAGCGAGCTTGGATCGTATTTAACAGCTCCATCTGGCCTGCGATATATCCCCCAACAGACCCGAGACTACAGCCTTGTTGTCCCTGCTCCGCCCAAAAACATCTGAAATCACCGTTCTCGGTAGCACTACCATCTACCCTTGGACTCGCAAACCCTAGAATTGGAGCAGCCCCGTTTCTCTGAGTTTGGAAACCGGCAAAATCTTGTCAACAGACCCCAAGCGGCTGTGCTCTTAGTCTTAGGCCCATGCTTGCAGAATCACGATCTTGAGGCTACTCATCATTGGCCCGGCCGACCGCTACGCCATCCGCGACTTCGACGATCATGACCAAATCCGAGTATCTCTCTACGTAGTGATTGAATTTGGCTGAAGCCGCCCTAATGGATCTCATCGACCTCACCGGTGACAGCGATGCCGACATGGCAACCAGTCATGAACCAACGAAGCGCATCGGAGCGAACGCCTCGCCGCAGATTAAATTCTCAGAGAGCCGTTTCCAACTCCAGGATTCATTGCCTTCTCATGGCCATGCCAATCCACGACCAACTTCGCGCTCAAGCGAGCCATCGGGGTCTCGTCCAAGGGGCCAAATGAACACAACCCCATCCAAGCCCACCAAGTCCGAATCCTCATCTGCTCGGGCCCACAGGGTCAGCAAGGCTTCGCCAATCCAGCTGACTCCAAACCCAGTTCTCAGAATGGCTCCTCGCAGTACCACACCACAGCCAAGCAGAGATGCGCTGTCTCATCAGGCGGTCGAGAGCAGCCCTTCGTTCCAGACTCCCCGCAGGGACGATTGGAATGTGGACAGGATCGAGCACGCTCTTTTCGACTTATCGAAGGAGCTTGATTGGAACCACGCCAAGCTGGTCAACTACAACCTGCGGACTGCCGCCGCACAGAAGACCCCAGGGCGACGACACGTGAGCTCTACTGCGTATCTGGCCGACCTCAGATTGTCTGTGCTGCCATATGAGACCTCGCAAGAGGGCACCATGAAAGTCCATCTCAAGACACATGGCTCGAAGGATACGGCTCGTGCCAACTCGGGGAGGAAGAGGATGGCTTACGAGGTCGTCTGCATCAAATCTGACAAGCCACGAGTCCCGCAATACAAGTTCCATCATGTGGAGATCTCGAGGAATATCTTGACTCCGAACACAATGTTGAAATTCATTCCTCATCTCCGTGACATGAAGGACAACGAAGAAGAGCGATACACTCGCTGGATCAAGGAGCTCGAGGCGATGGACGCCCAGTCCGGTTTCAACGTTACTTCTCTCAATAGGGGCGACAAGATGAGAAAGCGACTCCGGGAAGAAATAGCTGCCGAGATCTCCCTTTACATTGACCGGTGGATCGCAAAACTGGGCCTGGACAACTGCAGCAAGTCCACCCTCGTCCGCTACATGGCCACACATTCTGAGCACAATGACAAAATGACGCCACAGCAAAAGAATAGCATCATCCACAGACTCGAAGACGTGAGCTCACCACGCGCCACCAAGACTGCGAAAATGTTCACGGAAGCTTTCAACCACCTATGGAAACACACCGAACTTACGCTGAAAGACGTGCTCGCTCATGACGAAACGGTGGAGGCCGTTGTCGAGACCAAAAAGCTGGTCAAAGACGAGAAGCCTGAGGCTAAATCAAAGGCGGCTGAACGGCTCTTGGAAATGGTCGAGAGCAATTTGCTGACCTACACCATTCTGGGCTGCTTATACTGCTATTCGCACTCCTGTGAGCATGGTGAATATGACCGCGACAACCAGCGGCGATCACTTGGTGTCGATTTGATAGGGAGATTCGGTGGCTTGATGAGGCAGAACTTGGCTAAACACCTGCGGGACTCGGATGCCTCTGCACAAGGGTCACCGGCTCGTTGCCGAAATCTATGCTGGCAGGACTACAGATCCGGCAACATCAATGCTGACGTGGACCCCTGGTCTGACGATGAGGTCGCACTCCTCCGAGGTCTCTATGCTGCTTCGGCCGCCAGTCCAAGACTTTGTTCGAATTTGCCTTGCCTTGTTTCAACATTACTGGGACGGCCATGTTGGGATGTGTACAGGAAACAGCTCCAGCTTGACTTGGACAAATACGAGTCTCTTTACGAGCTTGCGAGTCCTGATACTGATCCACCAAAGGTCAAACCTTTGGCTTGGTACGACCGTCACCGAAAGGAACTCAGGCAGGACTGGCAAGACCACCTCAATGCTCACGAATTCACCCGCCGCGAAGTCAAAGACCCTTGTACCCACAGCGGACCCTGTGGCAAGGGTTGCCCATGTGTTGATGCGAAGCTTCTATGTGAACGCTTTTGCCGTTGCACAGCCGAGAACTGTGCCTACAAGTTTACAGGCTGCGCTTGCAAAGCTGAGGGCAAGACTTGCCTGCAATCGAAGAAAGAAGGCAAGCCTTGTATCTGTGTTCAGCTCAACAGGGAGTGCGACCCCGTGCTCTGTCAAGGTTGTGGCGCTTTCGAACGGGCAGACCCCAAGAATGCCCACGATACAGAGCTGCACTCATATGGCTGCCAAAACGTGTCTCTCCAGCGTGGTCTTTCCAAGACTGTCTTGCTGGGTGAGTCTCAAATTGAGGGCTGCGGATATGGCCTATTTACCGCCGAAGACATTGCCCAGGATGAGTTTGTTATCGAGTATCTTGGCGAATTGATCTCACACGACGAGGGTGTCCGGCGAGAGGCAAGACGCGGCGACGTCTTTGACGACTCTAAGCACAGTAGCTACTTGTTCACCCTGCTGGACTACGAGGGCATCTGGGTCGACGCAGCCATTTATGGCAATCTCAGCCGCTACATCAATCATGCTTCCGAGTACGACAAGGTAGGAAAGAAGTTGGTCAATATTGTGCCCCAAATTTTGTTTGTGAATGGCGATTACCGCATCAAGTTCAAGGCGCAGCGCGACATCAAGGCGGGTGAGGAGCTGTTCTTCAACTACGGAGAAAATTTCCCCAATCTCACCAAGAAGCTCCTTGACTCGAAGGATGAAGAAAACCGACCAAAGCGCGGCGGCAGTGTTAGAGGTCGAGGTGGCCGCGGCCGTGGTGGACGAGGCAGAGGCAGAGGCAGCCTCAAGATCACTACCACCGGGACTAAGAAAGCACCTAGAGCCTCCTTGGATGAGGACGACGAGGTGTCATCGATTGAGCCCGTCGCCGTAGATGAACAAGACAACGAAGATGATGGGGACTTTCGACCGGGGCGTTCGTATAGACCTAGGAGAGGCGGCACTACTTTGGGAGCGCGGGGTGGACGCAAGCGAAAGAGGCACGCCTCGCATGAACTCGACCCCGACGATCCGCCACCTGCTCGTGCCACTAGAGGCGGACGTGTTAGAGGCAGAGGTTCGCGTGGGCGTCAGCGAGGCGGTGGCCGCGGTGGACGTCGCACCGCAACAAATGTCGAGTCCACAACGACGACTGCAGCATTTGCCTTGGACGGAACAGACGAATCATCTAGCAATGGCACTGCGGCTTCCATCATTGAGGCCGCGCCTACGATGACGACGCACGCAATCCTCGGCACACCTAGTAGCCGTGCCGGGCGTGGCAAGCGTCGGAAACAACTCGATGGTAACGACTCCGAATCTGAATTCAAGGTCCATGTCCCTAGATCAGGGGGCAGTCAGCACAGTCCCAGTTTGAGAAGGCGCACAAGGAGAGATATTCCGGACTCAGATGAGGAAATGGCGGACTTTGAGCACGAAGACAGCTTCACCCGCGGAGAAACCGCGGATGGCAGTAGCCCGATCGACCGGTCGCAACGCAAGAGGCAGAGGCCGGCTAGGTACCGCGATCTGGAGGAGTAGGACTTCACCATGAAGCGTGCTCGGCGCAAGCTGAAGGGGTTCGGCAACTCAGTGCTGGGCAGTAGCGGTGAGACGCAAGATATGGTGGAAGAATCGTTTTCCAAATGCACTGAAAATCGCGCTGAAAAGTCTGTGGCCAAGAATATCCCAGAAACCCCAGACACTGAAATCAATACGTATGGCGAAAGCACGAGAGGATTGGAAGCCAAGAAGAGTTCTAGGAGACAATTGGCGAAGCAGAAAGGCGTCAGAAATGATCCACGTCCTTCGACAGAGACCTTAGTCAACAGACATAAGTATGATGAGGGTCTGCGACGGGGCTTGCTCCAGGCTGCGAGAAGCAATGATCCTCTTCCGGAATGGTTGCTTCGCCGGAAATCCTATGATCGTGCGGGCGAGTTCTACGTCCGTCTGAAAGCAGAATTAGTCGCCCCGGAGGAGCGTGATCAGGCGAAAATCACACGTCTGCTAGCTGAACTTCCTTCTTCACAGCAGCAAGGCACAAATTACTACGACGACACCAATGAGGCAATACCCAGACATGGCATTGATCAGGTCGAGGTGGCCGATAGGGAGGTTATCAACGAGGAACTATTGGCCCGAGAGGTGAAGGGCGATCGCGAAGTGTTTGAACCCTCGACGGAGTTGCAATCATACGCCGGAACACACTACAAGGCCCTGCGCAGAGGCCTACTCAAAGCTGCACACAATGGCACTGTCCTTAGCGACTGGTTGAAGCTCCGCAACCCCTCCTCCCTGGGTGACTTTTGGGTTCGCTTGAAAGCGGAGCTGATGGCTACCGATCGTGATCAAGCCAAGATCAAGCGTATGCTGGATGAATTCAGGGCTTCGGACCAGCGAAATGCGGATGCCACTCGCGATAGACTCACTCTTGCTGAGGCAATAGCGGATGCAAACGAGAAAGACGAGGACGATTCAGAGCAAGAGGGATACCCTGGAATGGACGAGGCAGAAACAAAAGTGCAAGGGCAACCAGACATGGATATTGACGAGGATGAGGACGACGACGTCTTTGTGCGTCGACCCAAGAGGCGTCAGCACCCGTTAGCTAGGTAACAAGCCAAGCAGGGGCTTGAGAAGGACTAGAAGCCTATTCAACCAAGACAACACCATTAGGAGATGCTTGACTTGCAGCCAAGCTCTCATGAAAGGACAGGATGAAGACAACGAAAAAGGTGTGTCGGACATTTGTTGGAACAAAAGGACTCGCGTCAAGCAAGGCGAGAGGGTCGCCGAAGTAGGTTCCTCATAGTACTAGAAGCAAACCATGCGTAATATACCCATAGCTCAATCCCATCGACAATGCTGTGCTTTCACAATGATACAAGCCCATCATCCGTCTGCCTGGAACCTAAATGGCCTAACCTGAGACGCTGTGGTGGCCCAAGGACGCGTTTGACGCTCCAGTCGTAGGAAAGAAAAAGGGAGGTGTGTCACAACAGTCATCCTCGCTTCGCGGTCGTTTTGCACCACCGAAAAGTTCTTGTGTAAGTATCTCATCACAGAAGACACAGCAAGTAGTCTAATAAAACCCATATCTTGATATTCGCGCACACATCAACACCTTAAAAACCGAGTGCTGTCATAGCCAAGGTGACCTCAATAAGTCTCCTTGTCGTGTAGAGCTTCCATTGGGGGAGAAAATACATGTGTACCCATACTCAGGAGAATCGTCACCCATCTTACACACATCCCGTCACATAGAAACGTCGTACCCTGACCAAAACGCCTAGCTCTGCATCCAGTCACACACTACTCTCTTCTACCACCGCCTTCGACAGTTATAGGCACAGACAGTCAACGTGCCCCATCTGATTCATGTCCATGCACCTGATTAACATGCGCCCGTCTTATGCCACCTTAGAAGGGATTTGCCGCGCGAAGGGCCTCACTAGTCCGTGGATAGCCGAAGCCTCCGAGTCTGACCTCTTTCACGAGATCTTGACCTTATGAATATCCACGACCAATTGTGCTTGTCTTCCCGCCCAGACTTGCTGCGGGGCTGTAGTCGTCCTTGGGTACCTGACGCGTTCATAGCATCGAGTTGACCTGGAACCGCTAGCTGCCGCCTTTGATCCTTCCGGCCGCTGTTGACCCCGGTTGTCCTTCATGTTCTCCTTCTCGTTCTAGCCTGGTTGCATTTGAAACGTCTTGCTCGCCTTATGCGATGCGATGGTCGACTGTTTCTCCTTCTAGCCTTCTACCGGCGCGAATGGAAATGGTATGTTTGACATTTGTCGTATATAAAGACGATCTTGTCATTTAATTTGTATGCCGTCTCGTTGGTCGTTGCCGCTAGACACTCTGGGGATACACGTTTGCAGGCTGCGAGTAGTGTTAGCATGAGAAAGTAATAACTGTCGTGGAAAGTGACGACCTACCGGACTGTTCAGCATTTGCTGTCTTTTGTTCCGACCCTTCTTGATATGGCTCTTTAATGCATTGGAGTCTAGGGGCTTCAGAAGCTCAAAACTACACAACAATTCAGAAGAGACTGACATAACAGCGCCCCAGTTGTCGAATTCGCCGCAATACTATAGAAAGTCAGCATAAGCGCACGGAGTAGAACTGACTTAATAGGACCATGTCTTACGTTTGGCGCGCTGAATACAGTGACTAGCACTCTGTCCGTGAAAAACTCGTACCCATCTTCGACAACCATGTGTGCACGGCAAACGAGGTCGAAGTCATGTGTCGTGAGGAAGTCTGTGATGACCTTCTTTCCAAAGCAGTAGCTAACACCTCTTTCATTCGCTTCCCAGTCCGCATCCATATCAGCTGGGTCAGACCACAGTAGGTCGTTCAGCAGCCCGTAGTCGGGTACGTCGGTTGGTCGAGCAATGTTTCGGATGTCGTCCATGTCCCTAAGCGCAGGCGACAGACCGCCATGCACGCAGAAGATCTTCCCTGCGACAATAGCAGCAATGGGAAGGGTGTTAAATGTGTCAATGAACGTCTTCCAGATCTTGACGTTACATCTGCGCTTGCACTCGTCGTAGAAACCGTAGACACGCGTGACGTTGGCGCACTCATGATTGCCGCGAAGAAGAAAGAAGTTCTCGGGGAACTTCAACTTGTAGCAGAGCAGCAAGAGAATAGTCTCAAGCGATTGCTTACCTCGGTCGACGTAGTCACCTAGGAAGAGGAAATTGGCAGATGGCGGGAAGCCGCACATCTCGAACATACGGATTAGATCCGTGTACTGCCCGTGAACGTCGCCGACAATTTTCACCGGGGCATCTAATTCCAGCAGGGCAGGCTGGGCCAGAAGCACTTCTCTGGCACGCTGGCAAATAGCCACGATCTCTGCGTTCTTCAAGCAGACACTCTTGGTCACCTTGCCAGCATATCCGGCATCTAGTAGGCGCTTGATGAAATCATCCAAGTCGATATCTTTGATCTCACTCATGGCCACACCTCCAGCGGGATCTTGACTCGACGACGTGCCTCCGTGGATAGGGTTGACGGAGTTGTCGCGCCTGACCAGTATCGACTGGCCTGGTTGTTGTGCCTCCCCATTCGGATCCGGCACCCCTGAGGGAGGCGCGTCGGACACGTGATCAACCTCGCCAGATGCTTGGGCAGCGCTGACATCATGTTTGCCCGACATGCCAGATCCGGACTGTATAGGGGACGGCGGGGGTTGCGCATCGTCTAGCGGAGATGTCACGCCGGTATCGATCGACGAGGGGGAAGTCGGAGACACGGCAGGATCGGAGGATCTGCTGCGAGAAAAGCGCCCGCTTCGGCCTGACTTGACCGACCCAACATCAGACTTGTCGCCGGCGTCGCCATTAGATAACAGCGCGGAGTTACGCGGGCTGTCGGTCTTGGCCGAGGAACCTGGAATCTTGGACCTGAGGGTCTTGAAGGACCTCGTCGAGTCCTTAGTGTCTGACTTGCTGAAGGAGGGGTATGACTGCAAGCCGTCCGGGCTGCGGTCGCCCGCGCCGGCAGAGCTGTTGGGCCTCGGTGTGCTGGTACCGTCCTTTGATGGCTGGTTACCCATTGCGTGTGTGGCCTTGGTCGGTCTAGATTGGGAGGTCAGAAGTCCGGCAGGCTAAACGGTGTGCGCGTTGGAGGTATGTGGTCTAGTTGACAATGCCACGATAGCCTGTCGCTGCACCCGTCTTCGCCGTTGGAAGGAAGTGTTTGTGTGAGCCCGCTATGCGCGACGTGGTGCTAGGGAGGATGGTAGAGTCTGACGAGTACAGCCACAAGACGCGTGGCGGTGATGGGACGTGGTCGGCCCTGTATGGACTCCGTGTTTGATGATTGGCACGAGGATCGTGGGAAGTTCGTGTCGAAGTGGAAGGATGGGTCGAGGGTGGAGAGCAGGGTTCACGAGCAGGTGCCGATGTTTCGCGGGCGATGAGGTCAGGCCCAATGGACTAAAGGGTGGAGAGCGAGGGCGGAGGTGGTCTAGACGCAGGGCGGGAAAGACGAAGAATTGTCAGCCTTGCTCTGAGAAGCGGAGTTAAGATGGAGGGCGAGGTGGCAATGGCGGGGCGGATGACGACGGAGGTGAAGAGGCTGTGAATACGACCGTGCAGGCAGAAGCGTGGGCCGGAGATTCGAGCGGGAGTTACGGGAGCGTGGACGGAGGTGGACGTGACGGTGGGCTAGCGGAAATAGGGAGAAACAGAAGGGCAGTCAGCCTGACTCACCGTTCGGAACACCGAGAGCGACCTGGCGGTGGGATGGATGTTCAGGTAGGCAATCGAGGAAGGAAGGTCGGGGGCGGGTTGTTTGAGGGACGGGCCAAAGTGTTTCGTTGGTGGTACCTCTGTTTCGGTGAAGGAGTGACTTGGGGCCCGGAGTGGGTTTGGCCGGCAGACAGCCAAGAGAAAGTGGCTGGAGGCGAGGGCAGGGAAGGGCAGGAGACGATGCCAGTTGCCAATTGCGGATCGTCAGTCGTCAGTCGTGTGCCTGTCGTCTGGCGGGGTCCAAGAGCAGGAGGGTTGGTTGGCTTTGTTGTGATAGATCGGGTAAAAAGAGACAGAGAATAGATAGAGGGAGGGAGGGAGAAGGCGCAAGAGAGGTGTCAAAGAGGCCCGTTGGAGGGGCAGGGCTTTGTGGAGTCGGCGCGGAAGCTTGGGGTGACGCTGGGCTGGCCGGGTCCGGGAGGGTCTTGGTCTTTGGTCTTGGATCTTGGATCTTGGACAGTACCTGTTTATTAATTATAAACCTTGATGGAAGCCCTTTCTTCCAGCTCAAACTTTGCCTCAGTGTCTGGGTAGAAGGTCGGATCGGTGGGCAGTCCGCGTTGTTTCAGAAGGATCGGACCGACAATCAGTCAAGCCAGTCAGTCAGATGTGGGAGGAGTTCTGACGGTATGGAGATTGACTGGAGCGGGTTGAGGGGAGAGGCACGAGGTGGAAATGCGCACGCATATTACGCATGTACGCAGATATGCTGCAGAGCAGATGCAGGCGCAGGCCAAGTCGCAGTCGCAGTCGCACTCCTAAGGACGAGAGCGAGAAGGAGTAACAGTAACAGTAATTGTAACAGTAGCAGGAACAGTAGGGACAGGGACAGAGAAGGGCAGGACCACCCTTGCTGCCAGGTCTTGCCCAGGTCCTGAGGTCTTGGTGCGAGATGCCGCCTTCGTCTCTGTCTCTCGCCTCTGTGACCAAGTCGCTGGGGTCTGGGAGCAGCGAACAGCGGTCGTGATCTTGGTTCGAATTGAGGGCTTGGCGAGCATGACTGGCGGCTTGGAAGTTCTGGGCGCTCCACGATGGCGGTTCCCAGTCAATCAATCGGTCGCCCGCCCCTCTGGCTCCGTGATTAAATTCCACCTGGGCACTCTACTCAGCTTCCCCAGTCCTGGACCAGTCCTGAATCTGGTCCTCGGGCTGGTTTGCGTGTATGGTATCTCGGTATCCGTACTCATGTACCATGCGGCGAACTTCGACCCCGTCTGTGCGCGATGGTCTTTTGTCCTCTTTTGACTCTAGCATCTCGTGCTCTGTCTGTCTTGTGTGACCAAAAACTTGAGGATCGTCGCCGCGTTGCCCATAACGAGAAGGCGGGCCAAAAGTCAATTTGGCTCGACTGTGGTCTGGATGGTCCTGGACGTTCTGGCTGATGTGGTCGACGAGTTACAGCGCGCAGACGCGCAGACCGGCAGGCGGGCGCCTGAGGCGGGCAGATGCCAGACGCAAGGTGCGGTTGGCAGTTGCGTCCGACCAGCCGATCGCACCAGCCCGCTGGTCTCTGTGCAGCTGCCCCATCTCGCCCATACATCAGACCCTGCGGTGCCTCCCCACTACTACCTACACAGGAGGTGCTCAGTGGTGGTATACTAGTATACTACATACAGTACATAGCACCAATATTCTACCTGTTAGGCCTGTGCAACGCTTCTGCCGTGTAGGCCGTGTTGTCCAGGTCTTGATTCGCCTATCTTTTGTCGTAGGTGCAGCTGCTATGGGGATAGGAGATGGTACAAAGCACGAAGTACCTACCCATCTTGCCACACCACCACCATCCCCCCGCCTCTTTCTTACCCCACGGCCCTGGCCCCGGCCCAACCAGACTGTCAGATGCTCCTGCTGTAACTTATTTGACAGCAGTTGGGTTTGACCAGCTTCACACTTCAGCAGACACTCCTGACCACATTTTTCGGGGTACAGTAGCCCACTCTGTCAGTGAGTGTCATCGAAAGACAAGCCTGCCGTGGCTCAAATACGTCCTGCGCCTGGTCAGACGAGGGTCGGCTAGCTCATAAGCCACCACGCGATGGTGCTTGACCAGGTGGGCCAGACACTACGTCAGCATAACAGACACCCATCTCCTCCTATTGCACCAGCCACAAGCCCCGGAGAAGGCGGGGCAAACGGATTGAGAGCTTGATGTTGGCAGAGCAGGCATTACAATGCCAGCTATGGAAGGCCATCGTCAGGAACAGTGCCAAGCGAGCCTATCGGCCTTGGCCACATGAGAAAAGACCTGGGGAACACCGCATAAAATAGTCTCTGACCCGCGCCCTCGCTTGTTTGACGTCTCCTACTAGCCCGCTCGCCCGCCTGGCGGCACGCCTTATCGTGCCTTTTGAGACAGGAAGACTTCTGCGCTGGCAGCTTGGGCGGAGTGTTGTTTCAACCAGCCGCGTGGCGTACCGCTCTTTCAACATGCCCGGGAGCGTCTCGCTACCCCGCCATGATATGTGTGCGTACGATATGATATCGTGATGTGTGATATCGCTATCACGACCTGCCTCTTGTCATGGGAGCACAGGGAGAGTCATGTTCACTCGGTGGCCACGGGGACATCCTTGCCGCAGATCCATCAGCCCGGAGAGAAGAGAATTCGGGCCTGCGCCCGATGGGTGTGCTCACTTTGCGGAGGGTTACAAGGCTATATTTCTAGCTTTCGCCTCACCTGCAGCCAAGTTTAGGTAAATGAATTGTTGGTCATAACTCGCAGCCATGTGGGTCAGTCTATGGAAACCCCGGCTCTCATGGGCATATGACTCGATGTGTGTATATGCGCGCGTTGGATATTAAAGACTGGCGCATATTTTTGACTGTGTTGGGATATATAGAAACAGAGGCAAGAAGGTCAGGGGACTATCTTAGTTTTAGAGTATCTCATATGCAATTCTCCAAGATAGAGGGCATGCCTATCCAATGAGGGGATCGAGTGGGCAGTGCTGCCTATTGCATGGCCACCTTTCTCCAATATCAACTCTATACAGTCCAGAACTCCATACCGACTCCAGCAACAACAACCCGCCCTTCACCTAGCTGCTCGAGATCTCCACAGTCGGCTACAGCGCTGTACCGGTCGCCAACCAGCGACACCTTCCCCAAAACGCCCTCGCCGCCGGCCGCTGCGACCCAGGACTTGACCCTCTGGTCATTACTGGCCGTGCACAGTCTCGCCCGGTACGAGCCTGCGGCTCCGTCGGCCTCGAGCCCTACGATGCAGAGGCCCGTGATGGCGGCGGCATGGGCACCGTTCACCAGAGACCTGGACGCGATCCTGAAGCTCTCGCCTGCCCAGTCTAGGCGGACGTGCCCGATGGCGTTGTCATCGCCGCCGGTGAAGATGGCGTAGGAAGGCGTGGGGTTGACTTCGGGAAGTTCCCTTAGATCGATGGCCTTGACGCTGCTCTGATGCAGCCGTTGCGCATCGAGCAGCTCGTACTCGGCTGGCGCCGAGAGCGTTGTCGGTGTCCTTGTCTTCCAGAGAGCAAGGTGCCCATCTGTAGACGCAGTCAGGACGTGCAAATCCCACGGCCCGTCGAGCTCTTGTTGTATCCTGAGATGCCGAATCTGCATCATACAAGCGCCCGTATACTGGCCCTGGGCCAGAAGCGTGAAGCCCTCGTCCCTGGAATACCGATACGTCTTGAGAGTCGAGTTGGACAAGACCAATGACAGGCAAAGGACCTCTGCCCCATCCTGCTCCCTCTGAATGGGATCCAGGACCTGGACATCGAAGCTCATGATCCGGAGGTCACCATCGCGCGTCTTGTCGGGATAAACACCCTCGCAGACCACCGCGATGCCCTCATAAGCAGAGCGCTCGAGCCATGCGACCCGCCACACGAACAGCTCCTCGCCTCCGCTACTGCTGACCAGGTAGCTCCCGCCGGCCCACCGTAGGCACTGGATGCCAGCTGTGTGCCTCTCTACGACGGCGAGGCAGCTCAGCCCTGGTCCTGGCTCTCCGCCTCCTGTGTCGCCCCCATACCGCCATATCCGGATGTTCGTGTCCTCCGCGGCCGTCGCGAGATAGCCGCCCTGCGCCGCCGCCACCGTCTTGATCTCCCTCCCGTGGCCGCCCGGCTTAACCGAGCGCTGCGAGACGCTGTCCTGCGTGTAGACACACGTGCGTGACGCCTTTGTCCAGACGAAGGAGACCTTCTCTGGGGTAGTCAGGTCCACATGATATGTGAAGGCGCGGTGCGCGCCGCCGCACTCGACGCTTGCGAGCTCCTGCTGCCGGGTCTCGTTCCAGACCACGAAGTCCTTGCTGCGAAAGCCGCAGAGGATCAGTTGTGGCTTTGAGTCGGGGTCGGTAGCCATGGTGGTGAAGAAGCCGCTTTCGATCATAGGCCCTAATGGCGGAACGGCCTCATGGCGAAGGTGGACGGTGAGGGCGTTGTCAGACCCGCATGGCTGTGTGGTGATTTCATATGTTCTATAGCGACCGTCTCGGGAGGTCGTCAGGAAGTAGGGACAGGATGAGCCTGTTTTCGCAGGTAGAGACACGATGCTAGACACTGAGTCTTTCGAGCCGGGCCGGGTGGCGTGAGCTACTTGTCTGAAGCCTCCTGTGGGTTGATCGAGTTTGTGCACTGAAAGTGCACCGATACGAGAGCCAAATACAATAAAACTCTGGCAGATCCCTGCTGCAGTTGGTATGAAGCCCCTTTCTAGCTTTATAAGAGTTTCGTGGATGACAATGCCTTCTGCGGTAGGGTCTAGTAACATGAGCCTGACATCTGGGCTCCCCATGGTTGTCACAATGATGGGAAGCTGACCAGACTCTGCCTCGCGTAACTCGAGTCCCCGGAAGGCTTCTAGTGGAAGAAGGAAGACATCTGCGATCTTTCTCGGCAGTTTCACCACCGGTCGGATGACCCCTTGGCCATATATGTAGAGTTGTCCGCTGGGAGACCCGATGAGAGTGACGTCCGGACCTGCGCTGCGGACGATCTGGTACTTTTGCAGGTCATCCCGTATTGGCTTCGGCACTGACACTTCCTTCCATGACACTCCAGATGCATCGAGGGATCCAGTCAAGATGCGCCCCGATGCCGTCGTTGCAATGATAGATTTTGCAGACGGGAGCCCGTACATGTGCAGCGGCTCGCTGTCCGCAAGACCGGTGTCTGCCGGTCGAGGAACGGCTGAGTTAATTTCGTCGGCCGGGGGCGCGCCTAAGAATGCTGGGGTGTCAACGTCCAGGACGGAGGAAACTGTGTCCCCCATGTGCCATAATGAACTCTCCTCGATGAGTTGAATCTTGCCATCGCTACCCCCAGTAGCAAGTAGAGTTTTGCTTGGCTGTGATGGCGTCGGAGAAAGCACAGCGCTCGACCAGATGTGTTTCCCATCGTGGTTGTGAAATATCGCCTCGTGAGTGAGACTGGCCACCGGAACTTGGCCATGCTCATTAGACTGCGTGTGTTCGCTCGTCTCACTGAGATCAAGCCTCCACCTTTGCGCAGTGGCGTCCTCCCCGAAGGAATACAGCTTCACGCTCCTTGCTTTCTCACTCGAAGAAAAGTGGTCAAAACTCTGAGGGGAGAAGCGCACATTCCATATCCTCGAAACGTGTCCCATAGCCACCGCCAGAGACTTGGAAGATTGTTGACTTGCCATTGCCTCAAGAGCCCCCGTCGTCGTGTTCTCCCCAAAGCCGGTCTCCCTCGCCTCGGTGAATGTGTGAGCGGGCAAGGCCTTCCCTCCGCCATAGCCTGTATCGGTGATATTCCATACCCGAATCGTCCGGTCATCGCTGCAGCTCGCCAGTAGCCTCGACACCTCCTTGGTGCGTGAATCGACTACTAGCTCGGGGGAGATGTCAACACCGAATATAGAGCCCTCATGACCTGTGAAGACGTGCAAGACTTCGATCGCGTCCTCACAACCAGTGTCGTCGTCTGTGACACGGCACTTCCAAACGACAATCTCCCCGAAAGCAGTCCCTGCCGCGACCAGGACCCCGTTTCCGGAGGTCCACCTGACCTGCGCCGAGTACAAAATCGGGCGGGACGGCGGCGTCCTCAACCTCCCAAAGCGCAACCTTCTCCCCCCACCCTCCACAATGCCTCCGATGCGCAGTGGTAAGACCTCGTTGTGCGCAGTCACGACCGCGGCCAGGCCAGGTTGGTCGGGGGATACGGCGCCATGGTAGACCCAGTCCGGTGCCTGCAGGACCTGGCACTCGGGCACGACGTACTCCGCGTCGCCCCCACCCTCCTCGAGCTGAATTAGATCGGCGAGTTTCGTCTTCGGCAGGACCGTCACGAGTGGCCCGCCCCAGATGAGCACGTTTGAGGCCTCTCCAGTGGAAATGCCCTGGATGGGCTGCGCCTTGAAGACGTGCACCGTGGCGCGCAGCCGCTGCGTCCCTGCATCGTATATTTTCAGGTGGGTGTCCTCGCCGGAGAGGATGTAGACCGTTCCATTGTCCGCGGGCCTGAAAAATCCCAGTGCGGTGACCGGGCAGTGGACGTGTTCCCGTTGCAGGCGGGGAGGCACATGGTGGTTCATGTCGAAGTGGTGGTGGGTTTGAAAAATTGCGGGTGGTGAGTCAAATTTTGGCGGCACCGAGACTTTGGCTACGAGCACAACAAAATCAGCTACGAGACCGACTCGAGATCGCGAGCCTCGAGCGACATCCTCCATTCTTTGAATACGTCAGAAAATGAAAACCAACCCGGATAATTCAATTGACAAAACGATTTCTCCTAAGACATTTTTGATCCTTGTGAGTGGATTCGCATGTGAGTTGTGCGTATGTATGTAGAACCATTTCTGAAAGTCGACAGTGGCTACCATTATACGAGACCAATATCTTTAAGGTGTAAGGCTCGAATATTTACAAAGCATGTCACAAATCTTGAACGGGATCGATCATCATCTTTCTAATGTATCATTTCATTTCCTCCCGAAAGTTTAGCGGGTATCATGTCCTGTAGCACTAACAGCCTACTTGATCCATGTCGTAATATCCCTCCTCCAACCAACCGGAGGAAACAGTCGTGATAGCCCAACATGCCCCTTCACCTAGGGCCCGGAACGCCATACATGCAAGGAGAAGCCAAAATTAAGCAAAGTCAAGAAGAAGTATTTCCATCCGTCATCGTTGACGGCCAATGTGTTTTCGTATGTCCACTAGTATCCGACGGCCTCGCGAAAGCGAGATTGTCAGGTGCTCAGCAGTAGTTGCTTAGGAGCGGTGTTGATATGGCTCGTAAGCCAGATCGTTGCGCCCTGTTCGCGGGTTGCCGTAAGAAGGAGCCTGGCCGTATCCACCGCCATAAGCAGTGTTGGTATAGCCAGTCTCGTGGCCAGCACCGTAGGTGTTGTTGTGGTGGGACTCGCCGATAGGTGCGTAAGCTCCGGACATGGGCAGCTTCTCGGTGTCGTCGAGGTGCTTCTTGCGGCCAAACCCGCCGGTCTTGCCACGAGACCGGTTGTGGTCGGGAGCGCAGCAGCAGATGGTGAACATCCAGAAGAAGGCGGCGGCGATGGCGAAAGCGGCACCGATCCAAACGGCTGCCAGGAAGTTCGTGTTGATGGAACCAGTGACACCGTACACCTTGGCTGTACCCTCAACGACGCCGACCACGACGGAAGCCATGGCAGTGGCCAGAGCAGCGGCAGCACAGACGGCAACTGCAGCGAAAGCAGAGGTGATGAATGTGCAGCACGAGAAAGCACGGGAGCAGTTGGCGAAAATGCCCAGGACCAGTGAGATGCCGAGAGCGACGTAGGCGATGATGAAGACAACCTCGGTCCACTTAGTCACGGTGCTGAAGGTGTTCATGGCCGTCTTGATGCTGTCAGGGATAGTGACATTCTCGCCAGATGAGCCGGCCACGGCGTCCAGCTTGTCCTGGAAGCTCTCGGTGGCGTTGGATGCCCAGTCGAACTGTGCCTTCTTGCACGTCTTGCCGTCGGCCTCGGTGGTTTGGCAGTAGCCCCAGAGACTGACGAAGTAGGCATCAGCCAGGCCGAGGTCGGAAGCGGTGATGTTGGTACCGCTGATTAGACCGGAAATGGCAGACTCGGCATCGGCTGCTGAAGTGGCACCTGCGGCGGCGGCGGCGGAGGAGGCAGTGGCGAGAAGACCGGAGGTATCGCCAGAAGAGCCGCCAGTGGCAGCAATGATGGAGTCTGAAAGATCACGCTGGTGCAGGCCCCGGTCGCTCAACAAGCTGGTAATAGATGAGGAGCTGATGGAGAGGTCGGTGACGTTGACCTTGAACAAGTACATGCTCTTGTCAGTTACTCCTGAGAGACCGGCGACCAGCATGGCGATCAAACTGGCCACTGTCAGGATGAAGGGCAGAGCCACACAGAATATCCTTCCTATGTTGCCCATTTTGAGAGTTCCTTTCGGCTTCGTTTGTCGTAAAGAAATCGGGGATAATAATTTGGTGGTTAGAGACGATGGTATGACGTCGCTGCTGTTCGGTCCGGGGTGTTGGTCGAACGAGATTCTCGAGAATGAATCACTCAGGTGGAGCCTTGGGCTTGGTGATGTTTTGGGGAAACACCAACGATGGAATACCAAACCTGTGAGAGGTAGATAATGAGTTTTGAGAGCGAGAGGATGAGGAGGAAAGAACCAGATGTAGGGCATAAACAAGCTGGCAAAGGGGAATGAAGCAGATAAATAAAGACACAACTTGCAAGGGCCCTGAGGGTGGTTGGCTGGGCTTGGCTGGGCTGGGCACCGCAAGGCAGGACAGGACAGGCCAGGGCCCAGGGCCCAGGGCCGGTGGGATGTGGGATGTGGGCGAGCAGGGGCTGTGGCTGGGTTTCTGGTTGCGCAGCCAGCAGCGCTGCAGGCGGCACACGGCCTGACGGCAGGGCAGCGACCCTTTCGCCCTTGGCTTGGCCCTTGGGTCCCTCAACGTCACCCCTGCCAGGTACGGGGTCTCCAAGCCTGGCTTACCCACTTTTCTCAGCTGTGGTTGTCTGGCTTGTTGCCGCAGCAAGAAAAAGATTTGCTGCCCAGCCGAAGATCGCCTGTGCTTTGTGAATTGCCAGTGGCGCAGTAACGAAGGGACGGCCGCCGCCCGCTTGCTGGTTTGCTGCTTGATCGCGACCGGCGTTCGGGATCAGGGACGAGCAGCTGGGGAGATCCTGACGACAACACGACGATAACACGCTGGTTGGTTGCTCTGGCTGTCTGGGCCGCTCTGTTCCTTTGCTGGTTCGGTGACGAAAAAGCTTGGCCGGCGATGAGTTGTCTGCTGGTTCTGCTCCGCTTGTTGGATGCTGGTCCACGTTCTCTCCTCTCGAAAATCCCATCAGCAGCTTGGTGGTGCTCACGAGCCCCATACGCGACCAGGATGATGCAGCGTGCTTCGCATGTTTCTGTGGGGAAAATGACATCGCAAGTCCGGCCGAGGTGCCATCCTTCATCTTCTGTTACTGCACAGACTACGTACCTCACCTCCATGTACTATTGTCGTGCATGTATCTGGTGCACATCTGCATAGCACAACAACTATCTGCTAGGCTACCGGCTTGATGAGGCTTACCAGGCAGGCCCTTTACAGAGCGGCCGCTTCATCAGATTTACACCAGACACATCTCACTACACCCTGCGACAGGCCTGCGTGAGCATGACCTGCAGCTGGACAGGAAAATACATGGTCTACCTGCAGAGGTCCTGGGCTCATTACCACAATGTGCTATGCTGCAGGTTGGCTGCGAGGGAGGCGTGGCCCATGTAGACATTAGTTCCAGAGCTTTGGGACAAGATGTTCGACAGCTGTGCTCTGGACCATGTCCAGCGACCTAAACAGTACCGTGGGAACAATATCGCTCACCGACCGAGCATCACAGAACACATAATAACACCAGGCCACACAAGCCACCAGCGGTCCACATGCTCAGCCAACCGCGTTGACGAACCACAAGGCTGACGCAGCACGAGCGCCGTGTGCGGAAAGGCGAGGGCGGTCGTATGAGCAAGCAAACTAAGTGCTTACCCGCCGACCATGTCACTGTGCCGGCATTTTGTCATCCGTGGCTTGCTGTCCCCAGGCCTGAATCTAGTTTTTTGTTCTGAAACCACCTAGACACTTGGTTCTACCACATGTTATGGAATGAGGTCACCGATATGCTATTGTAAGGGATGAGGGAGGGTGCAGCACAGAGGGATCAGCCTTGATCGGCAGGTTGAGTCGCCCAAGCAACGTCCAGTAACCTCCAGTCATGAGCCACAGGCACTTGAAATACGAACTCCTCCCCTCCATCCTGATTTGCACGGCAACCAAATGATGATTCGCTTGCACGGCCGTCTCGTCCCATCTCGTCTCTCCCTCAGCATTATTAGAATCGTCAATGTCTTGGGTGGTAAAAATGTGAACAGGCCATGCGGCATCTGAGCAGCGAAGGGCAGCCTCGCCTGACTCGTTTCATCAACCCGAGAGGGGATCCACGCAATTCCAACCCGCCACATTACGACAGCGTCTCCATACGATACAGGCACGAGCCGAAGGCTGTGCAAGCCTAAGAGAAGCTCAGGCCACGTCCCGTTACGACCCCGGGGGGCGCGACTCCAAAAAACATTTTAGCTCGTGGGCCTCCCTCTGGGCATACTAAGAATAGCACCAGCCTATGAAATATGCCACTTATGTGCTCAGTAATATAGCCGTTGAGGCTGTGTGCTCTCCGAGAATTGCTTCCGAGCCTTTTAACAGCAGGCCGATGCCTCGGCCGGCCGAGGCAACGGCAACGCGGCCTGATACTGGCCACCAGCTTCTTCGGCCCTCCACTCGCGGTGCCGAGAGTCCAGACACTCGCTTGCCTGAGTGCCGGGGGAATGATGGTTTTGCTTCGCGTCTGTCGCATGATATTGCAAGCGAACTCGCAGCCCGAGACAGGCTTGGCCGCGACTCTGGGCCCCAGACACGGACTGCCGCCTCAGGTTCAGTCTCGTCTCGACGTATCCACCGACTGGGAACGAATCGTTCCGCTGTCGCGCTGACTCGGAGGGCTCTTAGGAGCCAAGTCAAAGAGATACTAATTAGCTCGCGATATTTACGACCCCATTCTCGATGCTCTTTCGGTCGACGATACATGTCCCACTTGACATCAAGCACATTTCGAATCTCACTCTGTGGTGGTCACCTCGTTGGACGATTTGTCCCCCTCATCCTTTGGTTCCGCCGGCGCTTCAATTGGGACTCATAATCAGCTGGTAATTGGGCGCAGAGAATGGCAATGTTGTATCTGGGTTGGCCTCGTGCGCACTGTACCTGTCTTCATCGGCCACAACAGCGTCGAAACACGCTCCGCGATGTGCTCCAACGAAACGAGCCCCCTGAACTCTGATCCTGTCGGTTTGAATCAGAGTAGTAAGCTGGTAAAATACTTGTTCATATCCTTATTTCGGATCGAACTCCAAGTAGTCCGTCAACTTAGCTAGAAGGTGCAGCCTGAGTCTGGAGAGATGACCTTCCGGCTTGATCTGCCTTGCTCCCACTGTAAGCTACTTCTGAAGAACTAGCATGAAACTGTGGCCCGTGCATATACAGAGGGTTGACTTCCCGCCCACTACTCCTGAGGGAGGGGAGAGTGAGGGTATGACCCTAGGCTAAAATGTAGTTGTGCTCCTGCATCTCTCATAGAGTCTTCGATGATCGTTCCGCCTTGGAAATGTTGATGCTCACGAGCTGCATTACTCAATGGAGATCAAGATGTATTCTGGATGAGGCCCTTCTTCGAGAAAAGACGAAGTGGAACGGCCCAAATGCGCACGTTGATCCATAGGCTCCTTTGCCGTTAGTACTTGCACCGTCTGTTCTGAGAAGGTTTGCAATTGCCTTGCATGCTGGCCATCCAATCTCCAATCTATGGTAACACCCAAACTTCTAAAAGTCCACGACATATCTTGACCTACGTTGGTCACTATTTCCCATGTCGATCGACCTTAACTGGGAGACCCTCACTACCGGCCCTGATGGCGAGGCGCTCGCCCACAGCATCCGTGACTTCATCCACACCAAGTTTCAGTCGGTCCCGCTACCTCGCTTCATCAAGTCTGTGACAGTGCACGACTTCGAGTTCGGCACCACACCGCCCGAACTCGAACTCAAGGACATCACGGACCCACTGCCTGACTTCTACGAGGAGAACCTCGCGGCTGATGACGAGGACTCCGACGATGACGATGACGATGACGATGAGGAGCGGCACTTCGACCACAGCCTCGGAGGTGAGGGCACAGGTGTCCCCGAGGAGCTCTTAGTCGCGTCGGAAAGGAGGCGCAGGAACGGCCAGGGCGCGAGGTTGACCGCGATACCACCGCACATCAGCACGACGGGCTTACCCTCAATCACGCCGTTTAGAGGCGGGCCCCTGGCACCGATGCAAGATCTGGGGAGCCCGTTCCTGGGCACTTCGACGCCAGGCATACCGGGCGGGACGTCTAATCTCAGCTACTTCCACTCTCACCTCATGGGCGGTCCATCTGGGACCCAGACGCCCCTGGCTGCGGTGGCGGGTGCACACCTGGGCAACAACAACCACCACAATCATCGTTGGGCGCCTGAAGCGGGTGGTACTAGCCCACTATCGACGACAACTACAGCGCCGTTCCCGGACTCAATGGGCAGACAGCGGTCAGTGGACGGTCGCGCGTCGAGCCACAGCCGGAATCCCAGCCAGAGCTCGGGCTCCGGGGCGGACTCTTACAATACCATCAGCGGCCTGACCCCAATACATCTAAGCAATACGGTCCTGCGGGAGAAGTCCAGCGTGTCTACTTTTGCACCGACTTCCTCCGCGGGGACGTCAAGGCCGCCCACGCGGGACAACACGAACGCATCTGCATCGATGCTCGCTGGGTCAGCAATCACAGAGGATGAAGAGCACCAAGACGATCAAGACCACAAGGACCAGCGCCGATTCCGTGAACCGAGGATCGAGGACATCCAGGCCGTGTTCCGGATCAAGTATTCCGGCGACGTCAAGCTGTTGCTCACAGCGGACATCCTTCTCGATTATCCCATGCCCAGCTTCGTTGGCATACCACTACGCTTGAGCATCACGGGGCTATCTTTCGACGGGGTCGGGGTCGTTGCCCATATCAGGAAAAGGGTGCATTTCTGTTTCTTGAGCCCGGAGGATGCGCTCGCTGCTGTTGGAACTGACGAGGCCGAGCAGGCCGGGGACGCGCCTGGAGGTGCTGGCTCATCTAACTTACGGCCGGGCAAGATGGGTGGTTTGCTCCAGGAGATCAGGGTGGAGAGCGAGATTGGGCAGAGAGAAGGGGGCAAGCAGAGCCTCAAGAACGTGGGCAAGGTGGAACGCTTTGTGCTGGAGCAGGTGCGGCGGATATTCGAAGAGGAATTTGTCTATCCCAGTTTCTGGACGTTCCTTGTATAGCATGGCTCGCGACTCAAAATAAGAAATTTAAGGAGCATGTCATCTCAAGACATTCTTTGAGAATAACTCTTGCTTGTGCCCCTCCTAGATATTTAACTTGCCCATGTCAGGATCATTACCCGTGTCTCATGTCAAAGTAGACTTGAAACCTTGATAAGCCGAGTTGATGTCCAGCTCCAGCTCCCTCGCCTGTGCCTCGCTCAGCTCCTCAGTCGCCTTCATCTGGTTGAGCGTGATCAGCCACTGCACGATCTTGCCCCGGTTCTCGAAGTCCCTGTCCGTCACCTTGTTCACCGACTGGATGACGTCCGTGAGCAGCGGGTGTAGCTGGTCCTTCGCCAGCAGGCCCAGCCGCAGCGCGTCCAGGAAGGTGATGAAGTCCTGCGTGGCTTCGAGGATAAGGGCACCACTGGTGTTGCCGGCCGCCGCTGCAGCAGGCGCGGAACCCGACGAGGCTGTCACCGCTGTGGAAGGCATGCCAACGCGAATTCGCTCTGTTGCACGGGGAACTTCGAGCTGTGATCAATTGTCAGAACTATCCTTGAAACCCCCTTTCTCCACAGGCCTCTGCTTTTGTTCTTCAGTCTGTCACTCGAAGCCAACCCCTGAACTTACATCCCACTCGGCCTTGAACTCCTCCAGCCCTACGAAAGCTTTCGCGACAGCCTCATCGGCCAGAATCGACTTGTACTGCTTCAGCGATCTCTCGCAGATTTCAGTATATTCTGCCTCGGGTATGGCATCTTTGAGAAATGCCTTCTCCAACTCATCGAGAGTGATGATGATGCTGAAGATTTCAGCAAGCGAGTCTTGCAGGTCTCGCTCGGCGCGAGTGTCGGCAAGTTTCACCTCCTGTGGATATGATGTTAGCGAGTCTCATACTGTGCAAATTGGTGAGAGACGTGCCTCATCCAGGTTGATGGTAGCCGACAGCGCTGTGTTCGGGACGTAGCTGTGAGGCGTGGGCGCATATGCTTGCCTTGGCATCATCTTATCGGCGAAGATAGATGGTCAAGCGTAATGACCATGTTGTCGATGAGAGAGAGGCTTGATGCGCACGCTTATACACCTGAGAGCTGCCTGCTCAAGTGCTATTGGGCTCCTGCCAAGGACTGAGGCATTCAAGGGTTGGACCCCGATATTCTAGTGGATCTGGCCTACCCACGCTTATGATCCTGGTTTCGGGGTAGATAACGATAAGCCTGTAAAATTTCCAGAATTGAGGTCGCATTCTCCTCCAAGGGAACTTTTTTTTCGCAGTATTCACAACATCCTTTGAACTTGCTCTGCTCTTTGCCATTGAGCACAGTCGCCCGCAAAAATGGCGCCAACAAAGAAAAACGCAAAGGCGACCAGGAAATTCGAGAAGAAGCACCTCAAAGGTGTTATCGACAAGCGCAAGGAGGACTCAAAAGTCAAAAAGCGAATCCAGGCAAAAAGCAAGAAACAAACGAAGCGCTCAAAGGACGATGAGTTTTTCAAGGGCCCCCAAAATGACACCAAGGGCTCCAGCGACAAGAAGAAGACAGGCGCCACCGTCAGTAGCATGAGCGTCGACGACTTCTTCAGCGGCGGCTTCGAGATCCTCGACAAGGGCAAGGATAGCAAGAAAGCTGGCAAGCTGGGGAAGAGGAAGCGAGGTGGTCACGAAGCGGACGAATCCTCCGAAGAAGGCAGTGATGCAGGAGCACCGGCATCTGCTGATGGCAGCGACGCTGAATCAGACGAAGACAATGTCGGCCTTGGAAAAGAAGACATGGAGGCATTGGCCAAGGACGACCCGGAGTTTTACAAATACCTGCAGGAAAACGACCCCGAGGCATTGGATTTCGACGAAAACGTAGACCTGGCCGAGATCGACGAGCTGAGCTCCGGAGAAGACGATGACCGACCGAAGAAGAAGCAGAAGAAGGGCAAGAAGGCGGCCGAGGAAGAGTCGGACGACGAGTTCTCATCTCGAAACGAACTTACAAAAGCGATGATTGCACGATGGAAAGCATCAATAGAAGAGAAGAAGTCGCTGAGGGCCGCGAAACAGGTGGTTCTGGCCTTCCGGAGCGCTGCGCATCTGAACGAGGATGACGAGGAGAACAAGCAGAAGTTCTCCATCACAAGCCCAGAGGTCTTCCATGACATTCTTGTGGTTGCGCTGAAACAGATTCCTGAGGTGTTACAACATCATGTTCCCGTCAAGGAGACGGCAAGCGGCAAGGTGTATGTCCCGACCGACTCGAAGAAGTTCAAGACCCTCTCCATACTGGTCAAGAGCTTTACTGCATCCGTTCTTCACCTTCTGGGTACCCTCTCAGACGACGCCACACTCAAACTTACCCTCTCTGCCCTTACACCGCTACTGCCATACCTCCTGTCTTTCCGCAAAGTCCTGAAGAATCTCATCAAGACTGTTGTGCACTTCTGGTCTCAATCCTCCAGCAGTGAAGCCACCAGAATCACAGCATTCCTAGTATTAAGAAGGCTTGTGGTCATAGGCGACAAGGGTATCCGTGAGGCTGTTCTCAAGGTTGTATACCAGGGTCTGATCCAGGGCAGCCGGACGACAAATCCCAACACCATACAAGGCATCAACCTGATGAAGAACTCTGCGGCTGAGCTATGGGGTATTGACCAAGGTATCGGGTACACAACTGCGTTCACCTTCATCCGTCAACTCGCCATCCACCTGCGCAACAGCATCACCCACAACCAGAACGAGTCATATAAAGCTGTGTACAACTGGCAATATGTGCATTCTCTGGACTTCTGGTCCTGTGTGCTGTCCGAACACTGCAGCATGCTGAAGGAGGCTGAGACGGGCAAGGAGAGCCAGTTGAAGCTGCTCATCTTCCCGCTCGTCCAAGTCACGCTGGGTGCCATGCGCTTGATCCCAACCGCCACTTATTTCCCTCTGCGATTCCAGCTCATCCGCTCTCTCCTGCGACTCTCTCGCGCTACGAGCACATATATCCCCTTGGCTTCAGCCCTGATCGAAGTCTTGAATTCTGCCGAGATGAAGAAGCCCCCAAAAGCCACCACCCTCAAGGCACTGGACTTCAGCGTTCAATACAAAGCGCCCAAGTCATACCTGCGCACTCGTGTTTACCAGGACGGTGTCGGCGAGCAGGTCGTGGAGCTTTTCTGCGAGTACTTCGCGATCTGGTCTACCAACATTGCGTTCCCAGAGTTCGCACTGCCCGTTGTGGTCATGCTTAAACGATGGCTCAAGGAGGCCCGGGGCAACAAGAAGGGTAACAGTGGCAACAAGAACTCCAAACTGGGTTCGCAGATTTCCCTTCTAGTGCAGAAGCTGGAGGCGAACGCCAAGTTCATCGAGGAGAAGCGGTCCAAGATTGAATTTGCACCCAAGAATAGGACGCAGGTGGACAAGTTCCTCAGCGGCTTTGACTGGGAGAAGACGCCGGTGGGCGCGTTCGCGGTGGGCCAGAGGAAGCAGAGGGAAGAGAAACGGAAAATGTTGGAAGAGGCACGCAAGGAGGATGACAGGAAGAGAAAGGAAGAAGAGCAGAAAAAGATTGAGGGGAGTGATGATGATGAGGAAGGCGAGAGTGATGGAGAGGAAAGTGAGGAGGGCAGCGAGGGAGAGGAAGAGGATGAGCTTGAGGAAGAGCTCTCTGGGGATGAGGGAGAGTCTGAGGATGAGGACGAGGATGAGGATGAGTGATCTCGCTATAGACTAGCTTTCCGTTGTCACGGGGCACGGAGCGAGAGAGTGTTCTAATCAGATCAAGGCCTGGTCTGTCCGAGTTAGTCAAGCTCAATACCCATACTACTATACAATACGTAGCATCACCAATGCTTCAATTCCCAAATCAAGCATCGTCCTGCCTGTGTCCAAAGGCCCAACATTACCACGGGGGTGGCCAACTCCATCGGCAGCGACGCCGTCGTACCGGCTACTCAAAGCAATCCACTTTGTCAACCGCACGGTCTTGTTGCATGCAAGCTCTCATCACTTTGCCAACGGGCAAGTCATATACAGCAGTCTATCTATGTGTTAATTCCTCGGGCTCCCATCTTCTGTATGTTGCACTAACCTCAGCGTTGTCAGCTGGAAGGGGCGCCAAGTACTACAGCAGCGCTACTCTATAGAAACATGTTTTCAAAGTCATCGTCCTGCAGAATGCAAAGTGTGACCAGAGAGAAGGCGCACCCGGCATAACGAATACCAACCACACAAAGTCCTCACTCAGAAGAACTAGTCGACGGAGCGTACTTGCGCCTCTTGGCCCTGCGAGCACGCCGAGGAGGAATATCCTCCGCGGCGTTGTCGGAAGCGGAGGCGCCGCCGCCATCGTTAAGGGAGACGCCATCATCATCCTTCATCTCCTCGTCACCAGCACCGTCTTCTTCTTCGTCGTCGCCGTCATTGTCCTCGTCAGCCTGCTCTCGGGTGCGTTTCGTGCCCCTGTCCTGCTCCTGCGAGGCAAGAGCGGCTGCCTCCTCCGCCCTGTGCTCCTCTCCCCTTACTAGTTTCCTCCAGGTGTACCAGGTCATGTTCTCCTTCTTAAGCCATGCTGCCTGCGTGAGGCCCTCCTTCCCCCAGAGGGTGTTAGCCGCCCGCCACTGCTGCATCGTCAGGCCCTCCCTCACCCATGGCTTGTCCCATGCTCTTCTTCGCTCGCGGTGGGTCTTCCATTGGTCTCCAGGGCTGGATGCGTCGATCATCTCAGTGTCCGGCTCGTCTATGCTTGGACGTGCATCTGGTACAGTTGTACGTGCTGGAGCCGTCTGTGGCAGACTTGCCTGTGGCAGACCTGTCTGAGAGGTAGGGGTGCTTGGCTGAGAACGCCCATGGATGGGCTGGGCAGCTGGAGTGCTCGAGTTCAACCCAAGTTGTAAAGAGAGCGCCTCGAGAGCCGCCGTTTGGGCATTTCTCATACCGCCGTCATCTTCGGGCGGAATGTGGGTTTGTTGCGCAAGATGGCCGGTGTGTTCTGTCGTAGAACCAGTCCTCCGCTCCGCTAGCTGCGGGTCCTACCCAGCAGTAGTGGGCGCAGGGCGGAACGTTGGTGCTCGCAATCCTGAGGCAGGGTTGCCTCCGAGCTGCTGCTGGACATCAGGTCTGTTCGGCAGACCGGGCGCTGGTGCCAGCAGTCTACCATGCTGTCGCATATTCGCAGTCGGCTGTATGCTAGGCCGAGTTGACATAAATCCGCCTCGTGCCCTGAAGGGGTTCCGAAAGACACGGCGCTGTAGCCTGGTTGCTTGAGGCCGACGCGAAGGATATGCGTTGGCTAAATTGCGACGAAAGAGACTGTATGCTGTGTCCTCAGGAATCGGCGGCGTAGACGTAGCTGGGACAATAGGAGCGGGCTGGACTCCTTGCTGATGCATCGTAGCATCTCCCTCGATAAAACCTCTCCAAGCGGGTCTCTGACGTGGTGGTGCTTCGAGCACCTCTGTAGCAGCCGTTGGATCGTTGAGGGGGTCGGTCAGAAGCTGACCATAGCCCGGTGTTTGACGGGGCGGCTGTGTCTCGCGTGACATACTTGAAGCGGCGAGGCCTGGAGTGCTTGGAGGCTGGGTCTCAAGTAGAGATATAGCCGCGGGAGGCCCAAAAGTAGGTGTATTTATGGGAATGGCTACAGAATAAGGAGCAAGCATAGGTCTGTAACTCGGTGCGGCCGCGGGTTCGGGAACCGGAGGCTGGTTCATCACATGCGTCTGGTTGGGCACAACCAGAACTTGAGAAGGTTGAAGACATGATGACTGGCTTACAAACACGGGCCCAGCCGCAACAGTAGGAGAAGGCGCGGACGAGGGCGTAGAAGTAGAAGTAGACGATCGAGTCAGATCAATTACTTGCGCAGTAGGCTGAGCTCTAGGCGCGGGCAACGGGGCAGATGACCGAGGCTGGTCCAATCGCTGCGGAGAAGTGGTTTCCGGGGCGAAGACAACAAATCCCTCTGGATCGTAAAATGCATCCTGGGAAAGTCTGAGAGTATTACTTATTAGCACAGTATGTATCTAAAGGAGAAATCAAAGCATAAAGGGCGAAAGAACTCACGCGATAGGAGCCGAGGCTAAGCTCTGGCTGTTGCTGTCTTGAACTGCGCCGATGTGACGAACAGCACTGAAAATGATATGAGCGAGGTGTCTTCAAATTTGCTTTGGTTTAGCACTCATTATCGAGCCAACTCACCCGTGCGGAACGCTGGTGGCTTGTGCTAGGCGTAATCGTCCTTGACCCGAATCGACAAGTGCTGGGTGGAACCGGGCGTTGTATCTATGTTGATGTTCTTAGAAATCCGAATCATGATCGTTTGACAATTGAAGAGTCTGGGATACTGAGACGCGTGATGCGTAATAATGGTAGACATACCTATGGACGAACTCATCTCGCCAATCACTGTGTCTAAAAGGCGTCCATATGTTCCAGGTAGGATACACCATGTTGGAAATGGATTGTAGGTGGCTTTACAATTCTGTCGATAGAGGGCTTTTCTTTGTTGTTCGAGTTCAACAGGATGAAGGAATTTGGAGTTCGAAAACCGATAAGGAACACCAGAAGCTGATATGCAGTCCCGCAACACAATCACAAACAACTCTTGGATTCACTTGTTTTCATCTGGAGTACCACTTGGTCTGAAATTTACAATAGGAATGTCTGCCACAGTTTTTCTATGCACAGCTAATTGAATATGTAAAGACCTCCATCTATCTAAGCAGCTGTTGAGTTGTTGAGGGTTCCAGAGACTCCAGTCATTTAATCTCATTGTGAAGTAGAAATAGCCAGGGCCGCTTATGGAGCTGTATGTGGATTTCATTATCCATGCTGTGAGGAAAGCTTGGGTGTACACTTCTCTCCTTTGAAAAGGTAAATGAATATGAGAGATAAAATCAATTTCTAATCATGCTTTGATGACGTTGGACAGTCCTCTTGCACGTAATGATTTGGATTATGTTGTGCCAACAAAAATGTTTAGGTTTGGTATAATGTTGCTGGCATTGCTACATTTCCATTCACCCAATCCCTAAGGCCACCTAGGTGAATTTTTAGGTAGTGGTGAAGTACAGGCAACTATGTACCCACGGATTTGACAAAAGAAGACACCGCATCAAAAGCGAGACCGAGATACGTCTCTAGCCAGGCATCACTTCCTTCCCGTCCTCTGGCACGAGATTGAAAACTTCATATACATAACTCCTTACATCATACACACGCGGATTCACTCTGCTCTCGCTGCCTTGTCATCGTCCATAGAAGGCCAAGAGGATAGAATGCAGAGCTACTTCGGTTCTGATGCAGTATATATCATAAAAGAATTCCCAGCAGAGCTCCAGACGGGCTGTTCCACGGCTAAGAATCCCAAGGATTTGAGGCCAAGGTTGGTAACCCGAAAGATGGGAGAGGAGGCGACGCACAAAGAGACAGGCTGAGTTAGGCCACTGTACTGACCGACACCTTGGTTTATTGGGATACCAACCTTGGTATAGGTGAAAGAGAACAATAAGGGTGCCACATACGACCTCTCCTGGTGTATCGCTTCGTTGCCTACTACAAGGGCCTCGGAGACGCCGAAATCCCCGCTCCTCAAGACTAACGGGTGGCAGTAGGAAACGCAGCCGCGTCATGACAGGTGGACCTGGACGATCCCGCCAGCCTGCAGCGATCTTGCGACTGCGACTCAAGAGACGTCGAAGCCGATAAGGCCACGGCTGGGTTTCGCCTAGGCCGCGAAAATGTCGGGAGCTGCGGCTGGTGAAGAGATTGTCTGGAAGACACCGCTACATAGACTTCCTTACAGGATTCTCCAGCCATAATATTCCCAGTGCTGATACCGCAGCACCGTCATGTTCGACTCTGCAAACCTCGGGAGTCTGGCTGAAGCGATCCTGTTCTATAAAGAAAACTTGGTATTAGCACTGTATTGGAAGATTGTAATGAGAAATCAATCTGGCTCAAATTTTGACAAGGCAGTCCTCAGCCCCGACATCGCGGACGCACCGAAGTCAATACAGTTGATTAGCTTATGAAGGCCTCACTCGGGAGAACCTTTCACATAGTATCAACGGATATTAGTGATGTGAGACAAGGCTAGGATGGCTACGGAACGGCAGTGCATCAAACTTGATGAGATTACGTGTAAAGCTAGGCAAGACATGCTTTGTTCCGATTTGCGGCGTCTTTGGAAGGGTATCACTTACACTATATGTTGCTTATCTGAGCTCTTATTGATGCAAAATTGGCATCCGTGGATCACAAGACCTAATAACGACGACCAGGGGCACCGGCACGGAACCCCGGCTACCCGACTAGGTGTGGCACAGGTCACTGAGGTCGTAGTTCCTTTTTTTTTTAGGGAAGAAAAAAGTAGTAATGAAAAAGGTCTAGTACTGGATGAAGAGATATCAAACATCCATCACGCCTTTCCAAGGTCGTGCTGCCGGGATAGGATGCCGTGTCTGCAGCCTTGCGGGCCCCTGCAACATTGCTCGCCCGCCAACACAATGTTGTGGGGTCTAGACCACATTTTGTGGATCAATACAATGCAGGCAGGATCACGAATGCCATATCGCTCGGCACTCGACAGCCTCCTGGCCTGGTCAGCAGGTATTTCCTGTTTGTCTGAAGCGGTAGCTTCTGTCCCGGAGTGGCACCTTGGCGAGGTCTTGGGTGCCAACATTGAAGATCACTAGTCATAAAGATCACTTTCAGCCTTTCAATGTTTTATCACATGAGATGCTGAATGTAAATAAAGCACAAAGCAAGGGATGATAGACCTGCGATCTTGTGGGCAGTTCAATATTTCATGATAGGCTCAGATGGCAGTTGGAGGAGGCTTAAAAGCATTCGGCTTCTTATTAAGGTTACAACTTGATCTTGTTTCTTTCCAATAATCACCTTACCCAGTGATCGTCAATCAAATACCGATCCGGTAGTGATGGCGGACCATGCCTGTCCTCATCTATAGCAAGATCCGCTAATCAGGGACGAAATATCATACCATTGACCTGGTATCACTAACAATCGTGCTCCACACTGTCGCATAATCCTGGCAAGACAATATGAAACATTCCTGTCATTGGCCGGCTGTCACCCCCCTTCTGTCGCCAAAAGGACTATAAGAGTAAATGGGACATCACCCTCCGCTGTCACACCTGGACTATCCGTCTTGGCGTTCCGAGTTTACAAACAGCGGAGTGAATGGCTCTGTGCGCTCTGCTTGCGGTGTTCTGGCCCAATGATGTTGATAGATAAATCAAGAAACGAATATGGCGGCGCTAACATCAATCATGCTGATCTGGAAGATCCAGTATAAGAAGGGTTCCGGAATCTAAGTCGGGCATTTTCTCTACATTGTGTTGACACAGAACCGGCGATCTGCAAATATCACCTCGTCAACGGGTAAAGTCAGGATGCCGTCACTCAAGCTGGTCGCTGCCGCAGTGTGTGGCTTTGCAACTACTGCTCTTGCCCACGGTCTTGTCTCAGGATTCGTTACGGATGGCAAGTACAACCAAGGCTACATCTGTAAGTACTTCACCCCGGCCTGAACAGGGTCAATTCTTCGTAATTTTCGCATGGTCGATCCAGTGTATGTGTACCTCTGTTATTGAACAGCAACTGATCGACGAATCTTACTACAGTGGATTACTACTACCTCGTGAAGAATGGAGGTACTCTCCCTGCGATCGCCGGATGGTAAGATCTTCCACACTTGCCTTCTAGCCTGTCAGACTTCAAGACTTGCTGACACAACTCCAGGTACGAGGAAGCTCTTGACCTCGGCTTCGTACAGCCCAACAACTTCGGAACACAAGACATCAACTGCCACATAAACTCTGCTCCAGGCAGCATCGCTGGCACCGTGAGCGCCGGCGGTACTATCGAGTTCCAGTGGACCACGTGGCCCCATGGCCTGGGTCCGATGCTGACCTACATCGCGCCCTACAGCGGCTCGCCCTCGTCCATCGACAAGTCCAAGCTCCTCTGGACCAAAATCGACGAGGCCGGCATCAACTATAGCACCCAGGTCTGGGCAGCGCAGGAGATGATCGACAACAACAACACGTGGACCATCACCGTGCCCAAGACGCTCAAGGCCGGCACGTACGTCTTCCGCCACGAGACCATCGCTGCCCACGGCGCGGGATCTGCCAACGGCGCACAGGCGTATCCTTTCTGCATCAACATTCAGGTGACCGGCTCGGGCACTTCTGTTCCATCGGGGGGCACCCTCGGTGTGAACCTGTACAAGGCCACCGACCCCGGTATCCTGTTCAACCCCTACACCACCATTACCAGCTACACGATCCCGGGACCGGCGCTCTGGACTGGTTGAGTAGGACTGGCGGTTAATTTACAATTGATTGTATATATTTCTGTTCGTGATGCATGCTCCTTACTCAAGAATGGAGCCGACAATGTCTATAGCAATCAAGCATGCGCAATATTGACTATCACCGACACACTGCATGTCGGGACGCAATCTTGACTCTAAAATCTCAATCCCTCCCGATTTGCTGCCCATGTGAATGGCGCCCATAGCAGAAGGAGTCGCGATGCACTCGCACGCCACAAGACATAGATCGAAAGCCCGGTACGATCAGCCAATAATGCTACTATTTTCGTGGGCCCAACGGGCAGTCCGCCGGACTGCCAATCTATGCACTGAAGCAGATGGCTTCCGATAGAGCCACTGCCGTCAAGCAGCTCTACGAAATTGACCTTTACGGAGTCTGCTTCGGCCGGAGTTGGCTATTCATTATGAGACTTCCCATGCACCAGTGTCCTCGAGTTTACGCCTGCAAAATACATCACAATTCAAGTCGTGATACGGTACGAGTGTATTGTTCCAAGCGCTTCAAAGTCATGCACGTCCGGCACAAGTCCAAACACAAAGTAATGAAATATGATGCAGTGAACAATATCCGCAAGTCAGATGTTCACTCAACATCAGTCAATGATTCCACCAACTCAATAGTCTTGTGGTCGTCCAAGGCCGCAGCATACCGCACAGCCATGGCATGAACCTGTTCCCTGGGCTGCATGACATACGGGCACATGATCCAACCAACCCCCGCAAGGAAAGATTTCCGATACTCGTCGAGGACATGTCTCTGCGAGCTTGAGAACGCAGGGGCCCCAGAGCTGGCCAGCTTCTCGAGGTAGTGGTCAAGAATCTCCATCTCGTGAGCCCTCCTGTCCTCGATGGTCAGCGCCCCGCCGATGAAGTACGCCACGTCATGGAACGCCGAGCCGATGTGGATCACCTGCCAGTCGAGGAAGCGCGGTTGATCCTGCACGAGATACGTGTTTCCCGTGTGCGGGTCGCCGTGCACCAGACACTGGAAAACTGGGTTCCTGGATTGGTAATGCTTATTCAAGGCGGCTGTCATACGCTTCTGGTCTTTGAGGTATTCATGGATGCCGGGTGGCCGATCATCAGCGCGGACAACGGCCTCGTACGTCTCCATCAGTGACAGGATGGCCTGATCGTAATGGGCCGTCAGCCAGGGGTAGTCTTCGGCTTTGGCGTTCCATGTCCCAGCGTGCAGGGCCGCGAGCTGCTCGACGCCTGCTAGAGCCCGCGAGACGGGCCATGGCTGGGCTGGATCGCCAAACTGGCAACCCGGGGCGTCAAGGTCGTCCATGATGACTATACCCTGATCAACCCCATTATGTCCGGCCCAGTGCGATCTGGGCAGGCTGATCTGCGCAAGATTTGGCGCGACTCGGTTGAAGAACTCGACTTCGCGAAAGTAGATGTTGACAATCCAAGGATAATGGGCTATGATCTTTGGGTCAAAGCCGCCCTTGATGCAGAGGAAGGTTGGTCTACTGGCAGTTGAGATATTATCATCATCGAAGACTACCGTGGCGAAGACTTTGCTGGCAGTACCATGCACGACTCTGGTGATTTCAACGCTTTTCACCTGTTGTCCGAATACATGGGTGAGCCACTCAGCGACGATGTCCTCCGGCACAGCAGGAAGCATACCGTCAACAGGCTTAGCAGAAGTGACGGCCGGGACAGCGGCCATTGTGTAGGAGGCTCAAGATCTGGATTGAATTTGTTGGAGGATGTCGAGGAAGGTCATACGTGTAATCCTCGGCAGCAAACCCTTCACTATGGCAGCCAAGACCACAATCACGTTACCAGCTGACACTAGACCTTGTGCACCACGATTGCACATCATTTGTGACAGATTTGTACAAATATGGTGAGGCGCCATATTTGAAGATCGACCGACCCAGGATGTGAGGTGCTGAGGTGAGACTGACCGCTATTGGTGGTCCTGATTTCGGTTAGAGCCAGTACCAAACCCATTAGAAAGAGCCTACAAGAATACTCTAGTGAATTTCCATGCGCGATTGTATCAGTGGAGTCTCTCCTTGAAGATTATCTCCGGATTTCAGACATCGGAATCGCTGTGAAATCAATCATCATGAGATAGTACGTGGACATCATTTAATAAGCTGTACAGCGCTTATACCCGTTCCCTTATAAGCCACAACACCAGCCAGATTGCAAAAGATTCCCGGGGGAAACGTAACATAGACATTTCCTCTCAGACATCTTGCAGAGCAGATCGTTTCAATTTTCACACGTATGCAGCGGTTTGATCAAAAGTCAAGTCAATTCTCCTGCTAATGGCTAGACTGAGAAAGCGGCTTGATTCTGCGTGATCTTGAAAACCGCTCCTTTCTCACGTACGGCTGCCACACTGAAGCTGTGGCATCTCATTCTATGCACAGCCTAGCAAACAGGGACAGCAGTCGCTGATGGGTGGCTTACCCGAGCATCGTCTCGATTCATTCTCTCGGTGTAAATACCAGGTCAAGCTTTGGACAAGCAAGCGTGAAGCCATCGACCAAGCCATTAACAAATGCCTCCCTCGTCTGGCCCGCAGCCAGTTCCACGTTAAATCGATGAAGTATTCGGCTTGTCACGCCGCGGATCTCCATCAAGGCCAGTGCCTTACCGACACAGTTATACGGACCTGGTCAATTTACATGTGAGCATATGCTAACACAGAAGTAAAACGTGCGGCGTTTTATTATGATGATTGAGAAACCATTGGCTCAGGAGACTTACCAATCGAAAAAGGCGAGTACACAGATGCGTTCTTGATCAGCTCGGGTCTCGTAGTCCATCGCTCCGGGATGAATTCATCAGGACGCTCGAAATTTCGCTCATCTATTATATTCCGTCAGCTTGGAAATCTACAAAACCTCATTCAGCAGTGAACTCCATACCTCTGTGTATAGTGTAGGTCGGAACCTGTATGATTGTACCACCTGGGACAAACAAGTCTTCGCTGATCTTCAAGCCCTCAGGCGGCGTGATCCGCTGAGGACCTGATGGGACGACCGGAAAAATCCGCAAAGCCTCGTCGATACAGGCCTGCAGGTACTTGAGCCTCGACAGAGAGTTGGCATCAGGCTCCGGGTTCTCCTGGAAAAAATCATCGAGCTCCTCTTGAAGTGCTTGTGTCACTTCAGGGTGGGTGGCTAGCTCCATGAAAAGACAAGACAGCGCAGCCGCTGTTGTATCACTAGGGAGACGTGTTAGTTCGAAACGGAACCCAAGAAATCATTCACATGTGATGAATTCTCGTTGCCAATAAATGCTCCTACCTTCCTGCAATCGTGATAGTGAGGCCGTCAGCATTGAGATCCAGCCTCTCCTGTTTCGTTCGTTGGGGCTTGGAATCGAAATCATCGATGATCCAGCTGAAAACGTCAGGAATATCCGGTGGATTCTATATGATTGTGTCAGTATTAGCACCTTATTTCCCTCTAACTAGGACTCACCTCAATCCTCTTCTTCACTTGTTGCGCAACCCACGCCTTGAACCTGACATTTTCTGCGCTAACAAAAGGGAGACTCCCAATGATCCGGAAAGCCCACATCATATGCCCAAATACCCCGAGCATGAACATGAACCCATGCAGAGTTTTCATGGCATAGTGCACCTCGCCACGGTCTAACATCTCAAAGCTATCGCCTAGGGACAAGTCGCCCATGACGTCGAACGAGTAGAAGTTGAACCACAGGGAGGCGTCGAGCGGCTGCTTCTGGTGGCCGTCGATGTGAGCGATGAGCTTGTCAGTGTAATGAGAGACACGAGGTTCGTAGTTGCGTAGCGCCTTCGTGCTGAAGCCCCGATCCCAGACCTTCCGCCGCGATGCGTGCCGGTCGACGTCCCTATCTGTTTGAATGGAGGTGTCTGGTGTGAGTGCTTGATACCAAGGCCCCTTGACGCACTTGGTACCGAGGTGGACAGCTTGGAGAGCCTGTGGATCAGCAATGGATAGGGTTGAGGCCCCTTAGCCGTGTCAGTATTGCTTCTACCCTCTACTTCTCAAGGATATCGCCCACCTATCCGAACGACGTCGCCGTAACCTTTATGGAGCTTGTCAAGCTCGACGAACTCCTGATGTCTCTTACATACCACCGCGGTGATATAGAAATTCGACGCACGTGCCAGGAATGGACCAGGAAATCGCTTCAGCCGATGGAATCCAATTCGATAGACGATCATGCTGAGAAAGATCCCCAGCATCGAGCTTCCGACGAGGTAGGACGATCTCCAGAGCGCAGATAAGAAACTCATCCCGGGAAGGCCCATTTGATACAGCGCAAGTGCGAGGGGGGCTGCTGCTGCTGTGGTCAGGAGTCTGAATACCGCGAGGTCCCATTCTCCTTTTCTCAGCACAACTACATGAAGACCGACGCCGAGAAGGAAGAAGGTCGTGCCATCAGGCAGGTGAACCATGTTCGCTGCTGTTGATCTTGTTCAGGCTAAGTGTCTTGCATCTGGCTTCGTAGTTGCTTCAGAAGGTAAGACAGGAAGGTAGAGTCTTGCAGAGAGCCGACCTTCTTGCCTTCAGAATCCTAAATGTGCATCAAATAGTTCTCCTTAGGCTCTGTTGACAGGCAGGTATAGGCGAGTAGAGGTGAGATGTGATGCGCGGAGCGAGACACCGTGACCAACTCCCTTATGCGAGGGCACTTCGTCCGACCCGTACTCGCAAAGCAACTAGACTAGTCTACTGCATACTCGACGCTGTGCCCAGTTCGCAACGTGAGACCCCTGACGCAGTGCTACGGTATGGCTGCATGGCATCTGCTCGCTACCTGAATGCCGGCCGCAAAACAGACCCGGAACCAGACAAAGCAAAATTACTGTGTCACAGCCCAGGCAGTACTGTGTATCCAGTCGTTGATCCTCACCCCCGGCCAGGGTCCACTCCTAGTGTAATGGCTGCCAGCACGTCGGCGGGGTTCATATATGGCTGAGAAAGCGCCGTGATGATAGTTTCCGCTTTGGGTAACTCACTCCCGGCCGACGTGTACGTAGTCAGTGGTAGTGTTGCAGCATGCAGGGATACTTCATGTTCGTTCCGCAATCGTGTCTTACAAGATGCGATCGCAATGTGCAGCCTGCGGACTGTTCAAGAAAGGCATGGCCACAAGCAGGAACCCGGCCCATTGCTGTTCGTCTTGCGTCCAGCGGGGTCGAGTCCATGAAGCTAGGTCAATTCATGCAAGAAGCTGATGTGCCCGCGCCTCCTTTCCACCTGGACTATCACCACTCACGTGTTATATCCATCTAGAAAGGAACACCACAGTCACCCTCCTGTGTGCTGGTTGCCTATTTCGCGGTAACACTACAAATGGTATTGCTCGCTAATTATGCTCCGTTAAGTACTATATGCCCGTTGCGCCAGTGGCCTCGGTACGCTTCTTGCCTGCCCTTTATGCACTAAACTCATAACCGGCCGTATGCGCATATCCATTATTAACACGACACTTCCTCCCTCAAGCATCCCCTTCAAAAGCCGACCTTGGGCCTTCCAGTAAACCCCTCTCCATCCCACCGTGACCCGGACCACCAAAGTGGTGCCAGCAGTTCGGCGCCTGCAGTATGTACCTCGCCATGGCCTCCCTAAACCTGCTCTTATACTCCTTGGGTGAGGTAACCGTCGGCTTGTTCCTGCCACCGCCGGCGAATCCGCGGTCTTTGATCCACGACTCGAGACGTTTGTCCCAGGTGTACGTACGAATGCAGTCAATGATGCCAACGACCAATTCCTTACGGGACTCATCGACTGCGATCATGAGCGAGTAGTCCATGACATTCTGTCTTGCAAGGAAGAGCGTATCATTCCAGACCTAGTGACGTGGCGTTCTGATCAGCATCTTTTCCGCGTCAAGGCATGGGCTTATGCATAGAAAGCAAGGTAAAACTTACAGAAGCCCTCAGGAGCTTTTTACTATGCTCCCTCGCGAAGAGTGGACTCTCGTAAATGTACTCGACCATGTTTTCGTCCAGGAGCACCTCATTCTGCTCGCCAGTGGACTGGATCTTGCGGTTCCTCATAGATCCCTTGAGATCAAAGATGCGCGTTGGCGAACGGTCATAGAACAGGTTCTCCATCACCAGCAGATCCAGCTTGATCTCAGTCCCAGTTGCTGGGTTCTTGACGATCACCTGGAAGAAGCCCAACATTTTGGCTATTACCGATGGCAGGTCGTGAAACAAGGCCTCTGCCATGATGTTGAAGTAAGCTGGTGCGAAACGTAGGAACGCGGACGTCTCGATTGGTGACAGAGACTTCATCACAAGCCTGTCGTCGAGGGTCTTCAGGAATACCGATTTCGTTTTGCCGCCTTTGGAGTCCCATTTGAGGCAACGCGACAAAGACTCGATGATGCGGTCCGCGGCACCGCACTTCCGGCGCAAGGCGTCGAATTGTTCCGCGTAGAAGATCTTGCAGAGCATCTTCGCCGAGCCTTCTGTAAACTGGTACTTCAGATGTGTACCTGTGGCACGCAGCAGGCTCTTTTCCAGTTCCTCTTCACCCATGAACTCGTCGCCAAGTTCTGATGGGTCGAGGGACTTCGTGTCGCTGAATGCTTCACCTTCGCTGTCCTTTTGCTCACTCATTTTCCACTGCCGTTGAATGACCGCCAGCTTGGCCTTGTAGTCCTCAGATCCCAAAGCAAAGGCGATAAGAGAACTGGGCTCATCCTCTCTTACGATCACGTCAGAATCAGTGAAGATGTGATCGGTGAAGTTCATGGGGTAATCAAGCTGTGGCCAGCCACTTGCAGAGCGTTCGGCCCAGAAGGTGGTGAGCATCTTCATGAGACTGGTTTTCTGATGTTTTGGCAACTCAAGAGGTATCTCCTCGCTTGAGTCCAGCGAATCCGCGATTTCTTGCACGTCGGGCAGGATTTCTTCGAGGAGCGAGCCCTCGACATCGCTACCGGGACCGCCCTCGACTTCGCCTTCAACTTCATCGTCAGAGCCAGCTTGACTGACTGTCTTCTTCTCGTTATCATGCTCAGCGCCGGTGCTGTCGGGCTGGGAAGTAGGCTCGGCCGTCCCGATCGTATCATTACCAGCAGCGGTCTCATCCGACGTTCTTTGAGATTCGGGCGCTGTTGTTGCATCGTCTAGGGTGGACTCTGTCGTCTTGGCGTGGCTCTGTTGGCTGCCCACCAAATGATCGTCATCCGACGGCCCCGGTTCCAAGACAGCCTGGTCCACATCGTCGTAGACTTCTACTATTGCCTTCGCCGAAGTACGTGGCAGGAATGCGCGAGAAGATTGCAGTTTGGCGGCTCTCTGCTTGCGATCGCGGATGCGCTCCCTCTCGAACTCACGACTCAGTTGCTCAAAGTGCCGAGCAAGGTTCGATACCTTGGTCTCCTTCCTCTTGTGAACGTACCGCGGGATCGAGGAGCCCCCGGCTTTCTTGGTCTTGAGAGCCGAGAGACCAAATCTATCCGAAAGCTTGGATTTGTCGCTCTTCGAGGACTCGGCGTTTGATATACGCCGAACGTCTCCTCCCGGAGGCAATTCAGCACTCTTAGGCACATTGCCCTGAAGTGGCCTGCCAATTCCTGACTGCGTTCTGGGGAGAACACCTATTGGTTGAGAGATGGCACGAGTGATAGGTGGTGAAACGGTCAATCCCGCTCTACGGGACGGGCCCCGCTCTGATACCTTCGGAATATCTTTGCCTTCTCTGCCATTGCTTGCCTCTGCAGCCACAGCTTCTCGTTGCTGGCGCCGTAACTGCTCCACTTTCTCCGTTAGTGACAACGAGGAATCGGGCCGTAAAGAAGTGGACCGTGAATGGTTCCGAGAAGGTGCTTTGGAATGCACTGGAGTTGGGATCTGGGTGACCGGCAACGTCTCGGTGTCTAGGGTTTCTGTGGGCGGCAGTGAATCTGGCTTGTTCTCGCCTGCTTCCACTTGAGGCACCCGTGGCTCTTCGAGAGCTGGGTCTTCCTTGATTGCGTCATTTTCGATGTTGCTGGTGCCATCTTGCTCAGCTGCGTGATCTTGCGCTGCTTCATCCTTGGGCGGCAAAGGCTCGCTGAGCGGAGCTGGAGCTGGAACCTCGACCTCCGGTTTTGGTGTCTCGGTGTCATCATGGTCTGTCCTTTTCCCCTCTACCGTATCTTCAGCTTTGTCCAGGAGCTCGTCTGCTTTCGGTGATGTTGCAGGCAAGTGCGGCTCACTGTGGACTTTCTCGTTGATTTCGACTGAATTCTGAGTTGTCGGCGGGGAGGTCTTCTCATCCGTATCCGCTGAGGCAATACTGGTCCCATCCGCAGAAATAGGTAGAGACTCTTTGGAGTCGTTGTCGGAGAACATTTTCTTCAATTGATTGATGGTTATTTGCCTGACATCTTTATCGGATAGGAAGTCCGCCTCGAACTTGGCAAAGGAAGAGTCCCACTCTGCGACTCTCTCAATCATTGTGCGGACAATGCGGTTGAGCGGAATGACTTCGTAATATGCCGAGTTGATATACGTGGCTTGTAACTCGCGAATCATCTTTGGCTGGTCCTCTTGGGCTTTCCTAGTCAGCCTTTCGATTTCGGCCCTGCAGGTATCCGCCTTTTCTGGCAGGACGCTGTCAATGCGGATGCTCTTGAGCCTGGTTTTGACCGAGTTCATGAACCGATTCCACCTTTGCTCTTCCTTGGTGAAAATGTCATTTTTCAACCTCAGATCGTTGTCTACTTTCCACGTGATGCGGGTGCGCGGCACTATGATCTCAAGGAGATCAATAGGGTCAAAGTGAATCCTCATGGACGTGTCATGGTAGTTGAAGTAGCGGATATGCTCCTTTTGGTAATCGTGTGGGCACTCCAGGTCCGGCCAACACTTGAGTCCTCGGCCCCAGAACGATAGCTCCAGGTATTTTCCAAATGAGTATTTTCTCGCAGTAGGTGACAAAGACCCAAAACCCATGTCTTTCTTGCAAATCTTGCAATAACTCCAGAGATAGATGGGATCATCTACATCGTCCTCATCTTGCGGAATCACCTCATCCTTTTTCAGTAAAGTGGGGTCGAAAGGGAGAGGCGCATTCTTCTCAATGAAGACGGTGATGTGTGCCTCGTCGTGGACATAAGTACGGTGATGTTGAGCCATCTGACGATCACAGCCATTAGCGTGACATATGGAATCAGCACTTCCGCAGAGGTCCTCGATGTATTGGCCCAGAGTGCAATCCGGGTCCATATTGTCGGCAGGGTCATCGTGATAAAAGCCAAAGGCGATGAGTCCAGGCTCGGAGCAGGGAATCTTCGTTTCTGTGCAGATGACGGAATAAAGAACGACGATGTTCTGGTGCGAGCAAGGGTCAAAGAGGTCAAGGGCACCTGCAATGAAGTTTTCCCACTGACGAGTTTGTGTTTTGTAGTTGTACAGCGCCTTGTCGTACTCCGCGTCATGGACTGCGTGGAGGACTTCCATTATCTGCCGAGGAGCCTTCTGTCCGATCTTGTGCACCATTTCTGGTTTGATTAGTTGGAACTTTTGCGGCTTTGCCTGATCGTTCTCTCCGAGTTCCTCGACCATATCTTGGTCGCGCAGCCGCTTCAGATACACCAGTCGGCGTTCTTGTTCTCGTGCCTTGACGAGTAGGTAGGGCTGCGTGAACTTGACGAATGGCGACGCAGATAGGATTTTGGTCTCGTACTTCGCAACCATTTCACTGTAGAATTGTGGCGCTGGCACATCTTCAGGAATATGACTGTCGTGTGTCGAATGAGCGGAGTGTAGTGATAGCATACTTGGGGTCTTCTCGGGAGGTTGAGGTGGCAAAGCATCAGCAGACTGGCTGTCCTCCGTCTTGGGGTCGGATTCAGCTTGAGACTGTGTACTTTGTTCGGTGTCCACAGGTTGGTCGCCGTTCGTTGATAGAGCTCCCAACGTACTCTTGTTCTCAAAACTCGGTAGTGACCTGAGACTTTGGCCCAGACCATCTTTCGACGGTGTCGGCGTAGGTGCCGTATCTGGGTCCGTACCCATGTACACGAAGTGATCCCGCAGTAGCGCGGCCTCCAACTTTAGATTGTAGACAACGTAGATCATGAACTCCGTGACACTCTTCATCTTGTCGAGGACTTCCGTGGAGGCACCTCGAAGAGCGATGGTACAGCCCAGCTCTTTCTTGCAGCCGGAAATGAATATGTAGGTCTTCTTCCGGCCTGGAAAGCTATTGTTCACATAGGTTTTGACCTCGAATCCACCAGCCTGGCCGACTTGAGTTGGAAGAACCAGCATGTCCAAGGTTTCGATGATGTCTGCCTTGGCACATCGCGACACAGCTTCGATAACTGCAAGTTTGACGTTGTATGCGACAGCTATACCAGCCTCGGAAAGATACTGTAAGGCGACGCCTGAGACGGATTTATGTGCGAGCAGTACGTGAGGCCGAAGATTGATAATGCGGTTCACTACCATGCGCAAAAATTCCTTCTCCTGCTCAATGACAGGCTGCAAGCTCATGAAGTGTTGTTGCTGATGACGTTGATACTCGATAGGGAAGGACACGAGGACAATGCGAGGACTGAGAATCCTCCTGGGCATGCTCTTCAAGGCAAGATTCTTGGTGAAAATGACCCCTGAGACATAGCTGGTGTCGCTAGGTTTACCGCCTGGAATCTTCTTCAGCTTAACGTAGTGCCTGATGTCCATCAAGTCGCCGGTCCGAGTGTCGGGGTCTACGTCATTTGAGCATCGAACAAGGATTGGTATGAGGGCTTTTTCCCAGGCAAGAGGGTTTTGAATGTCATTGTCTTGAAGCAATTGACCGAAAAGAGTCTGGACATGCTGTAAGCTGGCTGCTGGTAGCTCATCATCTTGTGTCGACTTCTTCCGAATGGTATTGCTCCTCATCAACGATGTTGGCTCTATTGGTGTTGTCGGATCAAATATTGCAAGCGACTCAGTTGATGCGCCCGGACCTTTGAAGATCCCAGATCTGGGGCGAGGCGATCGAAGATGATGGGCCGTATTACTCGTGGTACTCATATTCCTGCGGCGACCTGACCTCCCATGGTTTATCACCGTGACACCGGCATTTCCATCATCTGGTGGTCCGCGGCTGGTGAAGCTCATGCCGCTGATGCTCTTCTCACCTCGAACCTTGTGCCTGCGGCCTGCGTTCAGAAATGGGCCAAAGTTTGACTTGTCAGGGTCGAGACTAGATGGGGTTATGTCGCTGGTGTTCATGGTGGCAAATATGCTCATCTGCTGTTCATCACCGCTCGATTCGTCAGACATGTATGGAGCAAGTTCGGGATCAATGATGTTGTCATCATGGAAGGCCGGCAGTTTAGGCTTTCTTTGCAATTCCTCGTTGGCCGATTTGCGAAAGGGCGCGGAGTCGTCTTGTACTGGAGAGCCCTTCAACCGGTTCAATAGATTGTGTTTTGAATGATGCCTCCTGTGGCCGGAAGACTGCGGTCTGCTCGCTGCTAAGGATCTCAGAGACCGCGATGAGCTCGGCCGGCTTAGTTGTGGAGCAGCGTCAATCTCAAGAATTGCAGAGCGCCTGTTTGCGGAATCACCCCCGGTTCTCCTCATGGCCGGAATTGCCATCATTGGAGCTGTTGCCATTCTGTTGTCGTCGTGGTCCTCTAGCCTCTCAGATATGCTCATGTTGTCGTCCATATTCGCCTTTGCAAACGGGGCAGGCTTCAGAGGATTTGATCGAAAGATGGCAGGTAGATAGGAGTCGTTGTCCGAATCAGACCCGCTGTCATACCTGCTGTTTATGACATCTAGACAAGTCTTACAGACTCGTAGGGTGCCTGCAACACCGAATCTCTGACCAGGTATAGTTGAGGTACACTTGGAGTCAAAAATGCAGCCGCAGGTGCGGCAGTGATGCTTACGCCGAAAAGCAGAGAAAGGCGTACCACATTGGAAACATTCCTTGGTCGTCTCATCTGCCATCCAGAACTCCTTGCTGAGAACCTGCTTCCTCATCATTTCTAGCCGGTTGCTGACGCCCCCAGGAGGCCCCTCGACAGCGGTCGTGCCCGGGATTTTGATACCGCCGCCATGGAACTGCTCTGGCCGTTCGTTGTGGCGAAAGGACTCGTGGTAGACGGAACCATGCGCTGACATATTGATTGGGCTTGGCTCAGCGGTTCCTTCTATGGACGACGATCTGGAATGAATCTCGGCTGATGTTCTGGACCGACTTATCCGATCTATCACGGCTGGCTTCTTGAGGCCGTCTGTTGGTTGACGCAAGCGGGGAATTTCAAGCCCACCAGCTGTCGAATTCGACTTGACAAGACTCAAGGAAGTGTCATCTGAGGCAGCATCATGACTGAAGGAACCGTCCCTGCGGGTAGCTCTGGGATTGGCCATCATGTCACCATGGGAGAGATGCCGGGTTTCTGATGGATCATAGACACTTGAGCCTCCAGAGGCACTTGTGGTTCTCAACTCAGGCATTTGGTTGATGCTTCGCCTGCCAGTTTCCTCGACACGACTCGTGACCCCTCGCGTCGCATCTTTATCCTTGAAAGCGCTGACTGTTATTGGTGCTACAGCCGTTGCGGCAACTGAGGGAGCAGCCCCCTTCACAATCTTCGGGAGGCTGGGCGCGCTTTTCGCTGTGCTAGTAGTTGTAATGGAGGAGGCCTTGGATGACTGTGCAGGCTGGGAGACGCCTTCGGCTGGTATCGTTACATGTGAGGATGTCGCGGTTGGTGCGTGGTCGGGAAAATTACTCGCAATACCCTCGACGCTTCTCACAGACGCAACGGATGCTTTGCCCTTTCTGGATAGCCCTTCGTTGCGTTCAATGACTTCCGGCTCTTGCAACGCTGTCTTGCCACCCACACCGACAGCCTCTTTGAAGCGACTGTAGAGCCCGCTGATACCCTGGTGCACCAGGTCGCCAGGAGAGCCTTTGCCTTCTATGGGAGCGGAGGCAGGAGGCGGGGCGAAGTCGTTGAATGTGGTCAAGACACCTGACTGGCTAGCAGACGTATGTATCTTGTCCAGCGCCTGGGCCATATGCTCCTTGTCTACCTGAGAAGTAGTTGAGATGGAGTTGAAAGAATCGCGGCGGGATTTGAGGTCACTGATTGTGGAAGCGGTCGCCGGGGACAGAGGTGTCCTCGGAGGTATATTAGGATCCATATCGTCTTTTGTCTTTCCGACCAATATGACAATCGTCGTGCGGTTTCGGTCCGGAGTCTCGAGGCTGGAGCTCCCAGGTGTCTTTCGAAGGTCAAGGCAACCGGACGACTTGAGAGGCAGGCGAACAGGTAGTCATGGCTCGAGAGTCGGTGAAGAGTCGTCTTGTGAGGATTTAGACTTGGTGATCACCTTGCTGCCTACTACTGAGAGCGCACAGCGCGCTACGTCAGCGTCTGAAAGCTGCAAGCTTGTATAGGCAGGATGGGAGTAGAGGGGAAAGGAGGGAGGGAGTTTGGGAGTCATAACAGGCTCACATTAGACCAATCAACAAGCGTACGAGGGAGCACTGTGCATAAGACTGCTGCTTCCGCAGCTATCCGTGTTGCTTATGCTCCGGACGTAGTAGACTAGTCCACAGCTTCACGACATTTTCCAGAGCGCGCAGGCACGGGAGCAGCAGCAGCACAAGGGTATAGAAGCAGGGCAGCTAACGTGGCAAATCAATTCGGTCGATATGTGAGGAGAGTGGGGGTGGTGGCGACGCATGGGACGCAGCCGTGTTGAGTTGGGTGGGTTGGGTGAGAAAGATGCAAGATGCAAGCGAGGGTGGCATGTGTCTCTGGCACACCTGCTTGCCTTGCGAGGGCTTGGAGGGATGGGATAGCAGGTCGAGTCTTAGTCGAGGTTGAGGAAGCAGATCTTCTGCAAGTCGATTGGGCTGGACTGGACTGTAAGCCACCCGCCAGCCCGCTAACAACCTTGTCTTTCCTTATTGCTGGTGCAACTGTAACGCGGGGCCAGGATCGGCATGAGGCTGCTGCGTCATTGGGAAAGGTGAGTGGCAGGTATTCCCGGACCCTTCAGCTGTACCCTGCCCTGGCCACTTGGGTACTTGGGTACCTAGATACCGACAGCCTGCATCTAGGCACTGCTAGGTACTGTACGTGCAGCTCTCGAGTGCCGCACAATGCGGTACAGACTATAACCTTGCAGGGCCAAGAAGCACATGACAGCGAGTGGAGGACCCGCTGAGGGAAACCAGCAGTGGGCGCGCATCACGACCCTGCAGACGCGCCTCACTTTATCGAGTCGCGTCCCGCTGTCTTGCACCCTTGGTCGACCCGGCGTTGGGTCAGTTCCCTCGCCCCAACTCAGCCCTCCACACACGACATGCCAACACCATTGATATCGGTACTTCTATGATTCGAGTGGATCATTCTCCGGGCCTGGCAACGATGCCCACCGCCTTCTCTCAGGATTTTGTCCAGGCAGATCGCCTCATCAGACGCCGTTATGTTCAGATCCCTGGGAAGCAGAAAGACCTGTTGGAGAGACCTGATGCCTGGTCTGAGAACCTCATCGGTGGACCCCGCGGCATGATCAATGTTCCTCCAGAGGTCCTCCAGGATGTCAAGGACTTTCACACGCGCATACATTCAAAGCCGACACAACGGCCCAGTTCTACCCATTCAGCTTCTCCAGCTGAATCAACTGCTAGACTCAGCCAGGACGACAAAGCTGCTGATGAGGCCACACAATTATCTTGGTCTCCGTCTCCGTCTCGTTATCCGCCTAGTGCTCGCCCGCTTCAACTCTCTGAACAGCAGGAGCTGGATTCACCATCCAGAAGTCAGCCGGCCTCCCAGTTGCCAATATCTCAGAAGAGGAAGGTACCTCCAGTACCATTCGACGTCGCCCCTCCAAACAGCACCGCGCAGAGCGATGCAGTGCCATATGAGCCCCTTTCAGCCTTGGGCCAAGAAACACATCCACCCGTCAATCGAGGCGCAAATCGACTTGTAGCGACGCAGTCGACTCCGCCAGCAGCCACGCCTCCATCCGCTCAGTTGGAAGTCATCCCAAGCACTTTCAATGGCCCAAGAGAAGGGGCCAGTGAAATAGCGCGTCTTGCATTGAAACGAAGGCGTTTAGGGGACACGAGACTCCCAGACAAAGAAAACGAGACAATAGTACAAACGCTGCCGTTGTCCAAGGCTGAACCGAGATCACAGTCCAAGGCGCCTCTCAACGACCAGAATAGTTCAACCACCAGTGCCTCCACGCCATCTTTTACTTCACAGGTTGCATCAGGGCATCTGCAGCACAGTACTCTTGTCCAGACAGCATCCGCATCAGGGTCCAACCAACGGAGTTCTTCCAATTACGCCCCGACGTACGAAGGACGGCCTCGCGATACTCCAACACAACAGAAAACGGTCCTTCGACATCCTGCAAGCGGATCTTCCATGGCCCCAGCGCCGGCCCAATACCCCACAGATCCAAGTCACTTGAACCTTACCGAACAGCCTCAGACCGATGTAGGACATATCATTGGCCATCGTACACCGTACGAAGAGTTCAAGGCGGCATATCCGGATTACGAAGAAAGCCTCAGAGCTTTCATCAGGGCATGTCTATCTGTTGAAAAGTTAGAGTATGAACGAGCACTCCCAGAGTTTCTATACGATGATTTCGTTCGGGTGTACTCGACACTCTATATGGACTACTACGCAGAGGCACAGAACAAGAATCACAGGGAGGTACTCAAGGCTACCCAGTGGTACAACGAGAATGTACAGGACATGGTTTACACCAAAAAGGTCATCCGAAGAGACAACTTGCCTACCATCTTGAAGGCACATGCACCCGCAGTGGAACAAATCAGAGAATCCATTCGCAAAGCCTTCGAGGCACGCCCATTAACTGACGATACCGAGTCAAATGAGGAGAGTGATGAAGATATGGCAGATGACGGCGACCAAGCCCAGCAACAAGGAGTGGAGGAAGAAAATTTCGAGCCGGAGAAGGTGACCGAATCGAGGCAATCGCCAGAATTTCACATTTGTTCCCCGGGGCCAGAGGCATTCATACCTAATGTAGTTGGGAATGATGAAATGGAAGAGGTTCATGAACCAGTTGTGTCAATGCCTGCTTCTGTCCGCACGAGGCAGCGTAGCGGAACAGTCGAGGAGGAACACAGGGACGGCTCACGGCAAGACGACATAGCCGCACCTGAGGTTGGCTCCCACGTGTCTAGGGCCTCCCCAGAGCTCCATTTCCAGGCGCTGGAAGGTGTCATGGATGACGAGGTGCCTTTGAAAGGGGCTGACCGAGAAATGGAGAGGACATCTCCCGGAGTGAAGTCCCCGACCCCTCGCCAGACCCGACGAAAAACACCCTCGCCCGCTACTTCCGCTCTGAAGTCAGGATCCCGTCAAAGCAGACTTGTGGCACCACTTCCATCATCAACGCCTTCAAGTGTCTTGGGCAATGATGATCAACCAGCCAATGACAGAACAATATCTCCTCCCCCACAGAGGAAGGCAAAGCTGAGCTCGCCAGCATTTAGGTCGCAGGCTGAGTCCTCCGATGACGAATCAGATTCATTCGATCCGCCCGTCCAGAAAGCAGCGATGCCACCGCCGAGGTCTTCAATAAGAGACGCGCCGGCGTTCCTGACACAGGCACAATCAATATATGAGATACCAGGCACGCCCGACCGGTTATCCGAGGAGCCCATGCCACCACCACTTCCGCAGGCGGTGGCTCGAACTCCTGCAGCCCTTCAGTCTCGCACCATCTCAGGGCTGACGACATCCACCGGGGCAGTCATAGCTTCAAACCCAGATGATGCGGGCCAGAATCCAATCATTGAGCGCGGGAGGGTCCATTCCCGGGGAACTATCAGATCAAGCCTGGCAGCGAGACACAGTCCAGCATCATCGGATAGGTCACGCGCCAGCGTACTTTTCAAAAAGCGAGCGGGCGAGACGAAAGAGGAGCGGAGCAAAAGGCTCAAAGAGCACATCAGAAAGAGGCTGTCGGGGAAGACGCCTAGCTCGACTCCAGCAAGCACAAAGTAGCTTATGGTCTTTGAGGTTGTGTCAATGGGCTGCGGTGCATATCATTGGAGCAAGGATGCAACTAAGTTGGCATGGGATTGTGTTTTAGCGAGTGAGATACCCATATTCGCAGAATTGACGAGCTTTCTCTTTATTCAGATATGAGGGATAGGATTGCTCAAGCCAGGGAGCTCGAGATCTCAAGTAACTAACTGATCGATGCTCACTGAGCTTGAACATGACATTGTCAACAAAAGCCCAACAGTTGAGACCGTCTTGTAGTTTTAGATGCCGAAGATTCGGGGATCTGGGTGCCAGGAGCCACTTCTTTCGGGGCCAATCGGCACCCCAGCTAGCATTGCATCCCGAATCTCTTCCGCTGGCCGACGTCCTCGGGGCACGAGTCTGCTTTTAAGTGATCGCTCCGCAGCCCAGTCCACATGATGAGAGCAATTGCAAGTGACTAAAGATGCTTTTTATTCACAGATTGTTTGTCTGTCCCAACTAGCCAGTGTCTTGAGAGGTATAGCGTTCCTGGATGGGTGTCAACGCGTGGCGCATGCATAATTTGGTCGTCATGAACCAAGAGATCTACTGCAACCCCCGAGGTTGCAGTGTGCAGCGGCTCTTGCAGGCGGTAGAGGCGCGGCGCGACCTGCCTACGGGTGTCGCTAGGCGAGCGCAGCTGAGTGGTCGATATCGGCGTCTCAAATGATGGGACCGACGGGCAGCGTAACACGGCAAACGGGCAACTCGAGCACTCACACCCCTACCCTACCCTTGTCAGATCATCGGAGTTCCTGACAGGAACCGGAGCCTGCAGTCAGTCGTACATTTTGTCTGATATATCCCCCGGTCTCATCTCATCTTGAAGTCCGCTCGTTTCTTCCCCTTCATGATGAGCATTGGCCCTTCATTGAGGCGATCCGCGATCATACAGAGGCTTTGCAGCAGCATCTCTACATCACCACTCACCAAACCACATCGGCTGAGCCACGGCTTTCCGCACCACAGCCCGCAACACACCTCTGCGTATAGGCTCGGCTTCGTCTTTCCGAGGATGGCCTCGACACTGCCTCGACTGCCCGTCTTCGAGGCCATCTCGGGCCACGACCCCAACTCGACCGTGGTTGTCCACTCAGCTTCCCAGCGGACCTTCAGGTACGGCGAGCTGCTTGGCGATGTGTGCCGGATGCGCAACCGGCTGCTTGAGGCTGCTGGCAAGGATGACATTCAAGGCGAGCGCGTTGCCTTCCTCGTGGAGAACAGCTACGACTATGTAGGTAAGCTTGAAGCGAAGCCGGGAGACTGGCAGTTCTCACTGCTCTCATTCTTGAATGTACACTAACATGATCCGCAGTCACATGGCTGGCCGTCCTGGCAGCAAGGGCAATAGCCGTGCCCCTGTCGCCGGCTTTCCCAGCACCAGAGCTGCAATACATTCTAGGCCACAGCGAGGCTCTTCTCCTGCTTTCGTCCGCGAAATTCTCCACCAAGGCTGAGGAGACCCTCGGCCTGCCACTGGTGTCGCCACCGAAGCACGTGGAGATCGCCAAGCACCCATCCGCGTCCCCTCATGAGTCGGTATCCCTGGAGGGTGACGACCCCGGCGCGGCGGGCATGATGCTCTACACGTCGGGCACGACCAACCGGCCCAAGGGCGTGCTGATCCCGCAGTCCGTCATGACGGCCCAAGCGCGGTCGCTGCTCAAGGCGTGGGAGTACTCGCCGTCCGACCGCCTGCTGCACGTGCTCCCGCTGCACCACATTCACGGCACCATCAACGCGATTCTCACGCCGCTGTTCGCAGGGAGCAGCATCGAGTTCCTCTACCCGTTCAACGCGGACGCCGTGTGGAAGCGCTTCGCGGCGCCGTTCCTGCACAAGCACGAGCAGCACGCCGAGGCGAATGGCCACGCCACTACGAACGGCGTCAACGGCACCACAAATGGCGTCAACGGCCATGCCAACGGCACTACTACTATTACTAACGGCGACAGCGCCCACCCCCAAGAGAAGATCACATTCTTCACCGTGGTACCAACAGTCTACTCCCGCCTGCTCGCTACCCACAAGGCACTCTCGCCACAGATGCAAGCGGCCACGCGCGAGGCCATCTCTCCCGAGAACCTCCGCGTCTGCATCTCTGGATCCGCGGCGCTGCCAACGCCCGTCAAGCGCGCCTGGAAGGACCTGTCCCACGGCAACGTGCTGCTGGAGCGATTCGGCATGACCGAGGTCGGCATGGCGCTGTCGTGCGGGCTGGACTTTGCGGACCGCGTCGACGGGTCCGTGGGGTGGCCGCTGCCGTCGGTCGAGGCGCGGCTGGTGGACGTCGACTCGGGCGAGGTGATCGCGCACGGCGAGGAGACGGACGCCGAGGGCCGCGAGCGCGCCGGCGAGATCCAGCTGCGCGGGCCGACCGTGTTCAGGGAGTACTGGCGCAACCCGGAGGCCACGGCGGCCGAGTTCGTGGCGGACGGCGTAGCGGGCGGCGGCGGCGGCGGGAAGTGGTTCAAGACGGGCGACGTGGCGGTCAGGCGGCCGGTGCCGAGCGCGGGCAAGGCGGCGGGGCGCGTCGCCAGCCAGGACTGGACGGGCGCGTCGGACTTGTACTTCATCCTGGGGCGCAAGTCGGCCGACATCATCAAGTCGGGCGGCGAGAAGGTGTCGGCGCTCGAGGTGGAGCGCGAGCTGCTGTCGCTGCCCGAGGTGGCCGAGGCGGCCGTGCTGGCCGTGCCGTCGGGCAAGTGGGGCCAGAAGGTCGGCGCCGTCATCATCCTCGACAAGGAGACGGGGCCCGAGGGCGGCCGCTGGACGCCCATGGACATGCGCCGCGCCCTCAAGGGCCGCCTGGTCAACTACAAGATCCCCCAGGTCCTGCGCGTCGTCGACCACATTCCGCGCAATGCCATGGGCAAGATCAACAAGAAGCAGCTCGTCAAGGCCGTGTTCCAGGACGACTTCAGCGGGGATGAGTTGTAAGATCAGGATGGTTTCGTGGGGGCTTCGCTAGGCGCAGGTGGTGAGAAAGTGGCATGAGAGCCGTCGCTCTAAAACTTGTGTGATTGTGGTAGACTATTGTACTGTACCAAACACCCCAGCCATAAATGGTTTGCATAAGGTTGGCATAGAGAAAATACACTCATAGAGGCCCGCACCAGGTTGCCGCCGCGGCCATCGCCGCCAATATATCATCTGTTGACGAGCTTTGGCGATGTGACCATCACTGAGACTGCCTGCCTCAAATGGCCAAGACACTGCCTCAAGGCGGAACGCATGTCGAGTCAACACCAACACGCAATTTCAAGAATTTGTCGGAACTGTCACTTTGTACCCTTGCGGGTCTCTAAGCTAGCTAAATAATCAACGCCTCATTTCGTGACGGACGATATGGAACCCATATTTCGTCCGGTGTCCACCCAAAATGCAATGCTTTTTGTTCATTCAGCCCAACTTTGGCCTTTCAAAAATAATATGCAGGGTATTACCGGGGCCTAGCAATGCCACTTTGCCTGGTGGAAGCATCTCCGGCTTCATCAAAGTCTGTGCCAAGTAGCAGGCAGAGCCTCGACAGCTACACCCGCCAAGGGCCCCCCCAATGGTCGAGTACTTATGCCGTAGCAATTGGTGATGGTTGTTGTTGAGCATTACAGTGGGAATTAGACCGTGATCTTAGCTTTGGCCCGCGTGCTACCAGCATGTGCAGCCTCGGTGTGGCTCGAGAACTCGAGCAGCTCGTTGGGGGGCAGCTTCAGGACATCCTTGACGCGGCGGCCAATGGTCATGAGAACCTCCTTGCCCTTCTCGGGAGTCCGGCCCTTGCCGCCCGCCACATCACCGTCACCACGGTTGGGTATGCTCTTGCCGACAGTGCGAGTCCAGACGCCGATACGGTAGAACGCCTTGCGGACGTTGACGACCACGCCCATGACCTCACCGTCCTCCTCATCCTCCAGCGTGTTGCCGATGGCGGCCAGCATGACATGCAGCCACAGCTCATCGATGTTGACGCTGCGCTTGTCCTTGAACTGGTAGGACCACTTGCCGCCGTGCTTGTTCTGGGGATCCTCCCACTCAGGCCGCACGCCGGCCTGGAAAAGGTGGTAGTCGGACTTGAGGGCGAGGTCAGAAACGGGCGCGATGTTGTTCTATCCGATACAGTCAGCTCTGGTTTGTAGGGTGAATAGGGATTGGATAAGGACATGTCGGATGATGGACTCACATAGATGCCCCAAAACTCCTCGACCGAGTTGAAGGTGATGACCTGCTTCAAGAGGTCGTTCCAGTTGTCGCCCTGTTGTCGAACCAGAGTGTCAGCGGGCTATCATGAACGCAGAGGGGAGCGTTTGTCCCTGACGAACCTTGCCAGAGGGAGGCTTGGTGAACCACAGGGTCCAGTCGTGTGCCAGAGGGTGCTTGACGTTGAAGTTATCCTTGTCGTCGAAGACGGTGACGGGCTTGCTGGAGGACGAGGCAGCGGCATCGGTGGAGGCGGAGGGGTTGTTGCCGCCCTCGGGGGACACAGGAATGGTGGATAGGTCGACTTGCTCGGCCATCTTGAGTTGGTGCTGTGGAGTGATTGTCGCGAGGGACGTGGGAGGTGGGAGATTGATAGTGAGCGATTGGTTGTCGCAAAGAAGATGTTGCGTGGGTGGGAGAGCGTGGGCGAGGCTGGGTGGGAGGCAATGTTCGTCGCGTGTGGAAGGTTGATGGAAGGAGAGGTGGGAGTGGAAGGCGAGTTGAAGTTTCCCTTGAAGGAAGGCGCGATGGTTGCGCAAAAGTTTGGGGCTGTTTGTCGGTCGGTGATGGCAGTAGCTGGGTTGGTGGTGGTGGTGAGGTCGGTGGTGGGTAGGGTATTGGCAGGTGGGCTGCAAAAAGTTCGCGACTACCCCAAGACTCGGTTCAGCAGTGTAAGTAAGAGACCGCCGATTTTTGGTCCAACACGCACCGAGGGTTCGCCTCTTGTACCTAAGTAGTGTTCCGCTCCACGCTATTGAGTGCCTTGGGGAATCGCGCCGAGGCTAAGTTAACAAGTGATTTATCTGTAGCTTTGCGCCAGGCAAAGTGCTATGTCGTCTCGTCTTGTGTTATCTCGCTCGTGTCACCAAATGGATTTTCGGAGTTTCCACCTTTCAAAAGTCAAAAAAGGCATCTGAGGCGGCAGACGGATAGTCTAAGCCTACTTGCTGCGCCAGTGGCTTACATAATGCCACCCTTGTACACACATGCAACATGCAACATGCAACAGAGGGTGAGACTTCGCAACCGCAACCGTAATTGAAGGCAGTCAACACCAGGAGCACCACCAGCTTAGAGCTTCGATGGCTTCGACAGAATCAACAGCATCCATCCTGGGTGTCTTCAGGCTGAGCCAGGCCGCATTTCTTCTTGGGCTACCACGCAGCTCTGAAGATATCGTACCACTGAGTATCTCATTTCAGAACCGTCTCGGTTGGCCCACTCTTGATCCCGACTGCAACCTTCAAGATATGCCAGGAGCAACCCACTGTGCATAGGTAGCTTCTGGTCTTCAGAAGACAATGCAGATGCGTTCTCTCTTACGAATGCTTACAAAATTTCTTAAAACTCCCACAGAAAGGGCGTCGAGTCCTGGAGATCAATCATTCCGAGGAATTGCGCTGTGATCATTCCTACGGACTCACCACTAACTCCAAGTGGAGCGCACCATGTCGGACCGCAATAGATCACGGCTTTGCAATGACTGTCTGTCACACTTGACACTTTTCAAAGCAATTTGCTTTAGTATCCTTTTCTTCAGGCAACGCAAGACAAATTTCTGCCTACACGCTTCATCAAGTAGGTGATGTGCTCTGGGGGTATACAAAGATGGCCATCTGATTGCGCCCTTGTGTTCCGCATTCAGGTCATGCATTTTAAGGCAAATTTCTCATTGTTGCCAGTTGCTCTAAGTAGCAACTTCATCAGCTCGACTCGCTACGGTATATGTGTTTCTTGTTCTGGATACTTCCAAAATCTACCGGAATTGTCGTGCTGCTTCTCTTTGTCATGTGCGAAACCGGCCACCGAACGCGCCCAATCCTTCACCAGGCCACAAGCTTCATGAAGACAAAGCCGATGCAATTCCCTCGATCCGTCCGTTCAGAATGATAAAAGGCATTAGTTCACTTTGTCGCCGCGCTCTGAGGACGGGATAAGCTACGATCCAAAAATACTCGACACGCCCTAACGTCAACACGACTACAGCTGCCGATTTGGAAGACGAGTAGATTGGGCTTGGAACGGGAGAGGCGACAAGCAACGTCGAAGGCGCTCAAGAATCAGCCATCATGTCCCAAACCCAAGTAGCCACGGTGTCTGGTGCTGGAGTTGCATCTGGCCCGCGTGGTGCTCCCGGTGCTCCTGGTGATCCTGGTCCTCCTGATGGTGGCCCCGGGCGCGCTCCTCCTGCACGTCAGAACAACGGTCCGGACTACAGCAAGAAGCCCAATGTTCGTCCCCAGGGCGATGAATCCGTGCCCGATGCCGAGTGGGCCAGATGGCGTTTGTACAAACAGCGGCCCGATATTCGAGACAACTTCCCCGCCTATTTCCCGGACATGCGCAGGCAACTGCATGAGAGATGCGCGGCGCAGAACCGAGCAGCCGACGACCAGGCCACTGATCCGCCAAGGTTCAAGAGGCGGTCCCTCAAGGAATTGAATGGACATTACGAGCCGACGCAATTAGGGTTCGCTTCTCTGACCACATTCTACGACGAAGCCGACAGACTAAATGCCAAGCTTTCCCGTCGAGAACGTCTCGACACTGATGAAGAAGGAGACAAGATTCCCTCACTCTGGTTCGAGAGAATGGCCCACGACTTGTTCGCGCGAGTATGGGAGTTCTCTTCCGATACTTTTGGTCTTCATTCAATAACCGAAAGTCACAATGATATGAACTGGACGCGCAGATGGCTGCATAAGCTACCTAGGGAGTTCGTGGACATCGCATCACAAGTTGCGAGAGGCGACCCTACCATCGCCCCTCCCAAGGAGTCGGACCCCACTAACTGGGAATACCTTTTTCTCGATCAAAACTCCCGTGTCAAGCTCATGGTCGGAATCATGGCCAAGTTACTCGAAAAGAATGTGTTCAACTCTCTTCTGTTTGGAGCTAGGGATGAAGAAAAGACAGCTTTGGAATCCGATGATCGTGCCACATCGTTCGTTGACAATTGTATGTGATTTTGTACTTGATCTACATCTAATATCTGCTGACATAGTGGCTGAAAGCATACCAGCGCAATCGCAATCGCTCAGCGACCGTCAGGACTTTTGTCCAAAGCACCCGGCCCCCTTTAGGCACTGGCCTTCCCGACCTCTTCACAGACAACTTCTGGGACGAAGTTGCGACTGTCACAATGGGTATCCTAGATCTTCTACTTCCCTTCATCAACATAATCGGAAATGATATGCGACACGTCCCCTGGCCACCACTGAAACAGGTACACCAGCGGCTGCACGACATCGTCGCTGAGGCCGCGTGGTTCACCAACGGCATGCGCGCTACCAAATCGGTCTTTTGGATTGACTTTCCACTCCCAGGCGAGATAAATGATATTAAACATGAACATGCCATCGATGACATCTGGAATCGATCCAAGGCTCGCGCCATTGTGAGCGACTCTGCCGACTTACAACGATGGCAGAATGAGAGGGATGCCGCGCTCGCTCAGCAGCACCCGGGCGTCCCAATAACCGAGGCGCATCGGGCAGCCTATGCGGCCCAGAAGCCGCGTCCTAATGTCCGCCGTACCGCCAAAGTCCAGGTTGCCATGTGGCCCTTCATCAAGCGTTACACCCCCGTGCGAGAGAGGGACGCAGGCGATGGTGCTTACAACTCGGGCGAAATCATCACGGAGATCATGAAGTCGCAGACCGTCTACTACTATGGAGATGACTCGGACGAGGGCGACCTGAGGGAGCGACTGACGCTAAGGGAGCATATCGGTGACCGCCGCTGGGCGGAATGGTTTTCCTGGCACTCCTTGCTGCTCCTCGCCTTGTTCGTGGTGCTGGTCTTTTTTCTCACAGCGCCGAATTTGCGCCGAGAAATGGATTATGAGCCCTGGTCCCTCAAATCGACATCACGTGGCTATGAGTTCTCTGGGAGGAAAAAGTCTACGACGAAGACTATCGTTGCTGTCCCCATCGGGACTGAAATCATTGCAGAGACCATCGTGGGGGCCGAATCAGGGCCCACGATCGTGGTCCCTGCTGATGATGTGCCCGGCACTGAGGCCAAGAAAGACGAGCCTTCCAAGTCACAGTCTGAATCTCATGTCTTATCTGTCTCCAAGGTAACGGAAACGATCAAAGAGACAATGATTCAAAGCAGTGACGTGCCGTCTCTAGAGGAGGCAATAGATGCGAAGACCGCGTCCACGGAGGGCGCGAAGGATTTTAGCGATCCTGACGCACTGAAAGAGGCCCAAGCCGGATATACCAAAGTGGTTTCGGATTGGATCAAATCAGGTGCGGAAATAGCTGATGCCTCCCGTTCTTCTTCGTCCGAGCAAAGTAGTATTGGCTCGAGCCCTGAGTCTGAAGGAGATGCGGCCGACTCGCAAGATTCCGAGTCTGGTCAGAGTAGCGTTGATCCGAGTCTTTTGTCCGCCTTCTCGCCCTCTAAGGCCGAGCAGAAAAACAGGGATGAGAGGATCTCGTCTGAGAAAGAGGCGTCCTCCTCACGCTTTTCTGCGTCCGAGCAGAGCAGTATTAGCTCGAGCCTTAAGTCCAAGCAGAGCAGCATTGATTCAAGCCTTGCGTCTGAAAGAGACGCGGTCGCCTCAAGCATTGCGTCCAAACAGAGCAGCCTCGATTCGAGCATTGCGTCTGAAACGGATGCGGTCGCCTCGAGTATAGCATCCGAGAAGCCTGAAGGGAACTTGCGACGAACCGCATCCAACAAGGGCCGCATTGGCTCGACCTTGATGTCAGTCAAGGATTCAGTCGCCTCGGGCATCGCGTCTGCGAAGGATGCAATAGCCTCGGGCGTTGGGTACACAGATGAAGCCCCCACCGCCAGTGAGGTCGAAGCCACTACTGAGTTCGAAGTCACTCCTGAGGTCGAAGTCACTCCTGAGGTCAGCAAGCCGGCGCAGGTGAAGAAGAAGGTGACCACCACTATCACGGTGCAGGAAGACACGGTGGTAGAGGTAGTCACGGTCACAGCGCCGGCGAAACAGGCTCAAACAAGTAGTGTGGTCTACAAGGTCAAAGAGAAAGGTACCAAGCCCGTTGATATCTGATCCCAAGAAAGATGATGGACTGATGCGGGCACTTGGCGGCTTCGTGTTGGAATATCGAGACAGCGCCCTTGGTAATAACTAATGCTAACATGAAACCTCTAGTGCCCTCACTCGAGAAACCTTGGCGATGGATCCGGTCGTTATGGCAATCCATTTACACGTTTTTGCATAATGTTCTCTATTTCATGTTTGGGGGTTTCTTCCGGTACCCAGTTACCAGTCTCATCTTTATTCTATGCTGCCTCTTTGTAGGACTATGGGTATTTCAGAGTTTTCTGGAGGCATTCGTGCCCTAAACAGTGGTAGCAGGTGAGTCTCTATGCAGATTGATATGGTCGATAAGACTGTCGTTTTGCCTGTCAACTGGGTCCCTTGTTTTGCATGTTGATGAGAATTGAACCTGACAAAAGCACGTAAACAGCAGTGATAATGGGCAAAGGATGCTGATGGGGTCGATGGTGGTATGTACAGACAGGAGAGTCATACTCTCCCGATCCAGCTTAAATATCGCGTATCTGCACAATCTCAATCTCATTTGTTATGTTCGCACTTGGTATGTCCATGTACAATGAACGGGCGATCTGAGCGTCAACAAGATATCTTTGTGTAGGAGCCGCCCTGCGTCTACTTGTCCATGTGCTCAATGCGAATGCCAACTGCCCTTCTGTGGGCCTCAAGCTCCTCCACCTTGGCCAGCTGCATTACGGCGCCGCCCACGTTCCGCAGGCCCTCCGCCGTCAGGTTCGCGCTGGTAATGTGCTTGATGAAGGAGCCGAGGTTGACACCCGAGTACTGCTTGGCGTACCCATATGTTGCTGTGTTGATTACCAGTCAGCTATTTTTCAAATAAAGTACCGGGTGAAAGACATTGTTGACTTACGTAGAGAGTGGTTCACACCAGCAGAGTAGTCACCCACGCTCTCGGGCGTCCACTGGCCGATGAATACACTGCCAGCATTCATAACCAATTCCGACACCTTCTCCGCATCCTTGAGTTGCAGGATCAAGTGCTCTGGTGCATACTCGTTGCTGACTTCCATAGCCTGCTCGATCGTCTTGACCTGGATTGTGACCGAGTGGGCGATCGCCCCACGCACAATCTCAACTCTCGGTAGTGCCATGGCCTGCTTGTGCAGCTCGTCCTCGATAGCCTGCAGTTCCTTATCGTCAAGATCCACCGCGATGAGAATCACTTGGCTGTCCACGCCGTGCTCAGCCTGGCTGAGCAGGTCGCTCGCCACAAACGCAGGATTGGCATCCTTATCGGCAATGACAAGGACCTCCGAAGGACCCGCGGGCATGTCGATGCTCACGCCGGCGTTCGTGTCGTTGCTGACGTACATCTTTGCCGCAGTCACGAATTGGTTACCAGGGCCGAGGATCTTGTCCACTTTGCTTACGCTTTCGGTGCCGTACGCCATGGCCGCAACAGCCTGGGCACCACCAGCCAGCACGATGCTCTCGGCGCCGACCTTGTGTGCGGCGTAGACGATTTCAGGGGTGACACTGCCGTCGGAGCGCGGTGGTGAGGCAAGTACGATTTTCTTGCAGCCGGCGACCATGGCGGGAACGCCAAGCATGAGAGCTGTGGATGGCAGGACAGCCGTGCCACCGGGCACGTACAGACCCACGCGCTCGATGGGTCTTGAGAAGCGACTGCAGACTACTCCGGGCATGGTCTCAACGCGCAGAGGCTTTTCTTCTTGTTGCGCGGCGTGGAACTTCTTGATGTTGTCGAAAGACACGTCGATGGCCTTGATAGTCTCAGCGGGCAGCTGCATGAGGGACTCGGGGAAAGGGGCCTTGATGACTGTGGAAGTCAAAGAGGCAGCCTTTTCGAATTTTTGAGTGTAAGAAAGAAGTGCCTTGTCGCCGTTCTTCTTGACATCGTCGATAATGGGTACGACAATCTTCATGATTGAGTCGGCAGACTTCTGTGATGGTCTATTTAGCACTTGCTGAAGCTGGCCAGGTGCTAGCGAAGAGAGGTCGTGACGTTTCATGGAAATCCGGTCTGAGGATGACACAGGACTAGAGGTGGCAGGGGCGGTGACAGCTGCTGTGGTAGTGCCGTTCACAGGCTTGATACCCTCCTTCTCAGCCCACTTGCCCTTCGCGTCACCTGTGCGCCTCTTGACCTTCCAGCTCTTGGCGTCAAGGCTCCTCTCAATGTCTGCCAGACCTACGCCGGCCGCAACAGCCTTGGTGAGGGCAAAGTAGATGAGGTCAGCCGCCTCGAATGCAACATCCTGCGACGACTTGGCATCGCACAGCTCCTCGGCCTCCTCCATAATTTTGGCCCGCAGAAGCTTCTCATCATTGAAAAGACGCGCTGTGTAGGACCCCTCAGGCGCAGATTCCTTCCTGGACTTGAGTGTCTGCTCCAGCCTGGGTATCCCCTTGAGCTCCCCGAAGCACCCGAACTGCTCAAGGTGGCAGAAACGGCCCTTCTGCCTGACGACAAACTTCAGGGCGTCGCTGTCGCAATCCAAGGAGATCCTCACGAGCTCCTGTGTATCTCCTGAGCTTGCTCCCTTGTACCACAAGCCTCGCTTCCTGCTTTGGTACACGCCAGTCTGGGTTCTCAGGGCCTCCCCGACACTCTCCTCGCTGCTGTAGACCAGGCCGAGAGCAATGCCATTCTCATCCGTAACGACAGTCGGAATGAGGTTGTCTGGCCGGTCCGAGCTCCAGGTAGAGCACAAAATCTTTGACACTGATAGCTTGCCGCTGGCCTCTTTGGCGGTGGTCAGGTCAGTCGAGGGAAGGATGGGAGTGGCTCCCAACTGGGCAGCGACATCTATGAAGTGTTCGAGGATTGCCCCCTCGACGGGCTTGATGAAGAGGTTTTTGACCTTGGTCGACTTCGCCTTCTCCAAAAAGGGGCCGACCTCACACGTGGAGTGGTCAAAGTCTGAGATGAGCAGCCCGTGCTCGGTGGCCGACTCAAGGCCACTGGTTTTTGTGACGACAGGTGCTACCCTTGAGCCATACTCAGTGTATTCTGGAAGGTGCTCGGGCTTGACGAAGACCTTCCGTGCGCCGGCATCGAGCAGAGACAGGACGTCGTCCCTGGAGTCGAGTCGAGTCACATCCAGAAACGGCAGAAAGTCGACATTGTGCTGGCTGAGGAACGCCAGGGTCTGGTCCAGGTTGTCTGGAGTGACTTCGGCGAAGACAGAACCAAGGCGGCTGATCTCGTCCCGACTCAGACCCTCTGGCCCTGCCAGGCCTGGGAGCACAGCAACGCTGATAAGGAAAGGGAGGGGTAGAGTCGTCTCCATGGCGGTTTCCGAATGACAATGACTGGAAAATCGACTTGAAGCTGGGTAATTACCAGAGAGAGCTTGCTGGGAGACGACCTCAAAATGATCTAAGAGACCAGTCCAAGACGAATTATAGACAGTCTCTTGTCTTACAAGTCACACCACTGTCAATGGTATGAGTCGAAGGTAGAGTCATCTAATTGGAAAAGTTCAATTCGCTAGTATCACATACTACGTAACAACTGGAGCTCCTGCATCGGCCGGCTGCGGCAGGGTACACGAATGTACACTCCGCCAGGATTAATTTTGTTAGTTTGGCGCTAAGTGGGCTTAAAGTAGTCCTTCTCCCCATAAGTCACTTTACACCCAAACTTAGCCCTATAGATACCTACCCTTTAAATAGCGCATTTTGCATTTATAGCTTCTTTTTAATTAACCTATACTTACAATTAGCTATTATTACTAAGTTAACTACTATACTAATTATTTAACTTTAATATAAAATAATAGTATTTAAGTTACCTTTAGGCTTCTATAGCTAACCCTTAAGCAAAGTTAACTTTAATCTTTATTGTTTAATATCCCTTTTGCCTACTACAACTATTATATTATTTAGCTTTTAAATACTTTTGTAACAATTATAGCTGGTTCCTAGCTGATAAACCTAATAAGCAGGTTTATATTTAAAGAACATTTAAAGTAGTAATATTTTAAGCAATATATAATAATAATAGATTAAAAGCTTTACAGTTATTCTAAGTAAATACTTAGATTAACTACTAAAGAATTATCCTAAGCTAATATTATTTACTAATAATAAGCGTAATCTATATAGTTTATCTTTTTAGCTAAAACAATAGGAGCATTACTTTAGGCAGCTTATTTAAAGCGTTGCTTACTTAGAGCAATAAAAGTATTAGATTATTTAGATTATTTAAAGTAAAGCATTACTTTAATTATTTTAGTTATCCTTTTGCTCTATTATATAACCTACTTTTATTATATAGCAAATTCTTTTAGGCCTGCTTTACTAGCCTGTAGGGTTTATCTGCACCTTTAAAGTGTCACGAACGTGACAGGAATAGAACCAGGGGAGCACTGTTGGTCCCCTGAAGGCGCAGATAAACCCCACAGGC